ACACTCATAAAAAAATAACTTTGACATTTAAAAAAAAAAAACACACATAGATTAGTAACTTATAAGTACCAATAATAAAAAATATTGTTTTTATGATGATTAAATGTAAGTAAAGATATTTGGCACAATTTGGCACAAGTGTGCCAAATTGTGCCAAATGTGCACTACTTGATGAAAAGGAGAAACTGCATAAAAACTATAAAACTTAGAAGTCTGAAACTTTAGACAGTTGTCAACAACACAATGAACAGAGGGTTTGAATATTGTGAACTTACAATGAAGTATGCCTTTTTTAGGGCCTTTAGAAATTGAAAATGTTAGGCGAGGCTAAAAAAATTGTTTTTTTTCCCCAAACTTCAAAGGATGCAGAGGAAAATAGGAATGACAAACATTATTTTAGTGTTTTTTTAAATAAACTAGAACGCTCTAGCTTTAAAATGATGCATCACACAAGCATGTGAGATGTAAGATGTGTTTTTAAATAAGCAAAGACATTTGGGTATGCCCAACCATTGTGCACGAGCCAAAATGAGGCGGGTTTTTTTAAGCATAAATCACGACTGTTAAGAAGCTGACTGTTATTGATTCCAGAGGTTGATTCATTTGCAGTTTTCAGAGCAGTTCTAAGACTACACATTCATTTCACAGTCTAATGGAGCAGGACGCAACAGGAGACCAAAGACATAAAACTTTATCATACAAACACAACAAAATGCATTTAAACTTCCATTAAAAATCAAGGGTGGTTTTGCAGAAGGCACAAAAGACCTGGAATCGTGGGTGTTTCCCGTGCTGGGGAGTTAAAACCACGCTCTGAATCACAATCATAAATATTTGTCATAAATAAATCCCAGATGGAGATTCAGCCAAAAGTGTCCGGCCGTTTAACTGCGACGCTTAAATTTAACCGTTTTCTCCAGTGGAAGGAGGAGACGACGGAGCGGAGGCAAAGCAGTGATCATGACGCCTGATTACAGGAGTCCGCAGCTTAAACACATGTTGCAGAACCATTCACATAAACAGACACTTTGCCTTTTCAAACTCTCAAACCAGATATGTCCGAACATGAGGGCTACACCTGGGAGCGGTGATGGCACTTGAAGCTATGAGTTGGATCCAAAAATGCTATCATCTTTTGGTTATAAGTTACAGAATGAATGAATAGCCTGTAAAATGTGCAGTTTCCTCGTCATGGACACATTTGGTATCTTTGAAAATTATATATTCACGTTCACTGATTTTCTATCTGTGATTCAAGGATGATTCTGCAGCGTTGCACATGCATTTTTTCTCAAAGGAAAAAAAACAAACTTGCTGCTTACACTGCAAAAAATGATAAAATATGAGGTAATTATGGCCGAATCGAGTGGATTTTGTTTCAATTTGAGTTAATTCTGACTTAGATTGTCTTAGAAGAAGATTCACCAATGAGACAAAGCCATTTAGTCTCATTTTAAGAACTGTTGCGTTGTTTTCTCATTCCAAGCGAGACATTTCTTGTATATTTTCAAAACAAGACCATTTTGTTTGTCCCATTGGCAAATAAGGCTCAGTCAGAATGTGCTCAAATGAACATACATTTTGCCAAATTTGAGCAATTTTTGACTTGTCTTGGATTAATTTTGTAGCGTGCTAACTTGATCCGTGGTCTCCGCACAAACCGGTGCCAACAAGTCTCTCCTCTTCTGTCTTTGAGCTCTATTTTCCTCAGACTGTGATGTCATAGATACGTTGGTTTGCCTGTGAGCTATAATGATGGTATAGGAGGCTGCTGAGGGGCCGCAGTCGAGCAGCTTAAGCCAAACGTTTGTGATTGTGGGCGTTTCCACTGGTCTCAGAATCCCAGTTGAGCCTGCAGGTTTTTTTCTGTCTGACCGTGCTGTCCTCCATAAAGGCCATTAATGACAATAATATTAACAAAAGTATTGCTTATAAGTTTGCATAACTTTTAGTCTTATACCATTCTTTCTTTTCACCTTTGTGCCTTTACTGATACTGTGTTCAACCGGAGCTGGTGTGGTCTCTGATCTGATGTGACCGTGTTTCTGAGGTCGCTTCCCATGTGCTCAGGTCAAAATGACCCGTAACAGAGATTCAAAGTTTTGGTCCCTCCCTATGGACCAGTATACATGTGTTCTATATTTTTTGTGTCTTAACTGTTGATTCTATAATTTGTGTTGTCGATTTCAAGTCCTCTGAGATGACAGCTGTTGTGATTTAGGGCCATACAAGAATAAATTGTATTGTATTGTGTTTTTAGTTAGAAACCTTTATGATTTTACAATTTCACAATCAAGTATATAGCTCTCTATTTCTCTCCATCTGTCTCTCTCTATCTTCCATCCATCCATCCATTTTCTTCCCCCTTAATCCATTTCTGGGTCAGGGGGTGGCAGTCAGAGCTGCACCCAGTCACATAGCACCAGCCCCTCACTGATCCTCCCGCAGGTGGTGAGTCCACAGGAGCTGAGATCTTTCAGCGGAGGCTTCAGGCAAAGTGGGGTTAAGTGTCTTGCCCAAGGACACAACGACAGCAGTCATCAGTGGGAGTCATGAAGTAGGTCTCATGGCGGGCTCGAACCCCTTCAGGCCCAAAGGCCAATGCTCTACCAACTGAGCCCCTGTCGCCCTATCTCTATCTTCATTTCTCTATTTCACTCTCTCTCTCTCCATCTCCATTTCTCACTCCCTATCTCTCTATCTGTATCTCGCTCTCTCTCTCCATAACAATGTGCTCTATTGTTAGTCAGTTAGAAACGTTTATAATTTTGTAATTTTTCAATACAGTATCTATCTCTCTATCAATCTCTCCTCTATATAATCTCTCATCTCTCTCCTCTCTCCATCTCTCTCCTCTCTTTCTTTCCATCTCTATATCTATCCATCCATCTGCTAATTTAGAGTATTTCTCTCCTACTCTTAGTCCCTGTGGCGTGTCGTTCTGACCCGAGGAGGGGCAGAGCACAGAGCCACGTCGCCGGCCCATTCACCCGTCCCTGTTATTTGTTGCATCCGAATAATTGTGATTCACGATTCTGTTTGGTTGTTTGTTCAACGTTTCCGTCGATTGTGCTTCTCTGTACGTTTATTATCCTAAAAAGTACAGAATTTCCCAATATTGTCCGCGCTCTCTCGTGTGTTTTTTCAGCCTGCGCGTCTGAAGGTATCTGTACAATGTGCGATTGAGCCGCGCGCCACGCTCTCGCAGATGGTTTGTTTTTAGACCTTTTCCTAAAACAATGGAGGCTGCAGCGCTCGGGAACCAGCGCATGAAAACAAGCAGGAGTCATAACAATACTTTAAACACGGATACATTTCCGACACCGTTTCTGCCCCGCACTCACACAAACGTGGCTGAAAAGCAACGAAAGTACAAGATGATTTTCTCTTTTTGGTAATACCTGGTTTTAAGATGCATCACACAGTTGTCCTGGTGACCCCTTGTGTTTCGGCCAATTTAGTTCTTTACTATAATTTGGGCTAAATAAAGGCTCTCTTATGTTATTCTGCTGTTGGCCGAAAAATAAAAGAATGAATGAATTTTAAGTTGAATTTATACAATTTTTATTGCATAATTTATTTATGTGTTGTAGGAGGTTTTGGTTTATTTGCACTGTACTTAAGTAGCTCAGTTGGTAGAGCTTTGGCCTTTGAGCCTGAAGGTCGTGGGTTTGAGTCCACCATAAGACTCTCCACCGACTCCCACTGATGTCTGCTGTCGGTGTGTCCTTGGCAAGACACTTAACCTCTGGGAACACCAGATGCCACAGTGGGGCGGCTGTAAAGTGCCAAACTGCCGTTGTGTCCTTAGGCAAGACACTTCACCCCCATTGCCTAGAATGAGTCTGGTGTGTGTGTGTGAATGGTTGGTGGTGGTCGGAGGGGCCGATGGCACATACTGGTTGCCTCACTCCTGTCAGTGTGCCCCAGGGCAGTTGTGGCTACAGTAGTAGTTTATCACCACCGTGTATGGAGTGAATGAATAATGACATGTGAAGCGTCTTTGAGTGTCCAAAAAAGCGTTATATAAAACCGATGCATTATTATTAAGTAATCTTTATTTATAGAGCACATTTTTACTGACCAAGGTCACCACCTAAAGTGCTTTACAATACAATTTCTTACTTATTTGCTTTTTGGTGACTTTTTCTGTTTAAATGTGGATAATCGGTGGAGTGGACTTTGAAACACTCATGGTGATTTAATAAGTATATTTTTTGGACATTCATCTTTGCACATCAATCAGAAGCTCAGGCCCTTGTCGGTGAATATGGGATTTATAAAAACAAAATGGCACAAAAGAGTGGACTGACTTCACCACAGTGTAAGTTATAATGCGGAAGAGGCTGATTAGAGCTAGCTTGAACTGTTTATTTTAGCGGGAAAGTGGAGCTAAATGCAAAGAACCAGTCAGGACCGGAGCTGGTCTGTTCCCACTTTCGCTACTCGCTCGCTCAAGCCAAATGAGTGAACAGAAAACCCCGGATTGGTCAGTTGTTATGGCTCATTTCTGGATTTACGAAGTCAATATGACAATGTAAACATCGGGATGCTAAAGAACGCTACAAACCACAGATTTTTAAATTCCTATTTGGGGAGTGAAGCGACGGTTACTGAGCTAGAGGAGTTTACTTTTCGATGTAAGCTCAAAGAAACTGTACATTCCTGACATTTTTAGACAATATTCCAACAAAAAATACGTTTCCATTTCACATTTTTATTGGTCAAATTTTGAGTTCTTTTAACAATCAAGAAGCAAAATTTTCAAGCAAAAAAATGGTAGAACTGGAGTAATATTGGTCAAGATTTTGGCCCTGATTGAAGACCTGATGTCGGTAATGGGTTCAAGTCCAAGTTACATTCATTTGATTGTCTGTTGAAGGTACAAAAGACAGAACGCGGCTTTGATGCTTGGAATAACAAACAGTGACAGCTGTGCCGGAGGTAGCCGCGAGGAAAGCGCTTTTGTGTTCATTTGTTTCTTCGCCGGTCGCAGAAGAATGGGCCGAGAACTTAAATCAGAGTCTCAGGATGCGACGCCAACGCAGGCACATACACGGACTCTTCACTGGAGCCGGGTCCGACGGCTTCAGCGGCGTCCAGGGCTTTCATTAAAACCTGTTTCAACCACAACAGCAGCTGCCAGTAAACACGGTGACGGTGCTGTGGTCTCCTTTTTAACTCTGGATCATTTTTTGAGTTACTAAATGTACTTGAAGCTTACAGGACAGTAGTAAGCACAATTTCATACACAAGACACCTCAAAGTGTTGAACAGAATAAGATGGCATTAAAATCATGAATAATCACAGTAGATTAAAAAAAGATACAGATCCCTGTTGTATGCACAGCTAAACAGAACTGTTTTTAACCTGGTTTTAACCATTGTCAGAGAGGAGAGAACACAGGGAACACACAACATACACAAAATAAGTAGCTGCTGTGTTTCTTAGCTAGCTGTAAATACTTCAATAACAGTCTTTAAAAAACACACAATGGCAGTAATTGATTATTTACAGATTTATTTACAGGATCAGCAGTTCTCATCATTGGAACATCTGTCACTTGATGTTAGACACTTTTACCATCAAACTGCATCTCAACCTTTTGGTAAAGGCCTGTAGAAATAAACAAACAAACTAGGGGTTTAGAAAATATAAAGAGTAAATATGAAAAATAATTATTCATTAGGGCTCCTTCGTCAAAATGAAAGAAACAAAACTTTCTTCCAGGAGTGAACATTATAAAGGGTTAAGGAATGACTGAGAGATAGATATTTATTAATCTCTGAAGGAGAAATTCAGGTTTTTAGCAGCAGAAACACATCCATTCATACAAACACACATAAGTCGATGACAACATTAAAGAAGAAATATTCTGCTTTTTTTTGGCCATTTCATGTTTCAGAATGTGGAATAATATGCTAAAACACGTGTGAGGGGTAAAGAATCAGACTGTCATATCCCTATGCCACCACCAGAGGGAGGGGTAACTTTTGTTTGTTTTCCAAATTGCCATCTGCAAACACAGACATGTGATTGTAAAGAACGTCATTCCACCTGAGAAATCATCCAAACTCATTTACAAGTCTGAAATCTGCTCAGAGTTTGATGTCATGGTGGTAAATGACCTCGTGCTGTCACAGGACTGAGACCAGAGCTTTGAGACAGAAGGGGCCAAATGCAAACTAGTCATTAAGGCTCTTTCACAGCGTCAGCCAGCCAACTTCAGCTCCACCAATACAGTCATGATATACCTTTTTGTAAATCTTAGGCACTGTGGAATCCAGTCAATCCAGCTCAAATCCAGTTTTAAATCCAGGCTGTTGGCCCCATTTCAAGTCTGATGATCTAAAGTGGCCCTCTTACTAAAAAGTCTGGACACCCCTGCTGTACATTCTCATTTTGTTTTTGATTGTGTCACATACATTACCTGCATGGCGCTAATGTAGCTGTGGTGTGAATCAAAATGGTCACACCACATGTCAAAGCCCAGGACAGAACACATTTTTTTGTATAGCACTGTTTATACACAAGGGCACTCGTAGTATTTAAGAAAGTCAATGTAAATGCAATGTCTCCTTTAAAGTCTTTATAATGTGTTAAGTAAAGGCCTATTGATTTACAAGAACGATGAATATTGTTAATAGTAATATCAGAGTAGTTTTCACATGAACCGGTTTGGACTCTCGTGTTTGAAGACTGAGTTCCAGGTTCAGTCGTAGAACAAACTGGACAAAGGTTTGAATGATTCTGTGTTTTCTTTCCTCAGGTCCTGGATGAGATCGCGGAGCACGGCATCAGGATTTACCAACTCCCCGACGCAGACTCTGATGAGGACGAAGAGTTCAAGGAGCAAACCAGAGTCCTGAAGGTGAGAGGAAAAACTGACATACGAGACGCACTGGTTCTATTTGCCATTTGTGATGTACATACAACTGAGGGATTTTATCTTCACTGTTTTTAATGTGATTATTTATTATTTTATTGCACTTTGAGCTGCGTGGCCTTGCCTAATAGCGACTGTTCATCCACCATCCTCGGTGTCTGTGCTTCCTTCCCCAGGCCAGCGTCCCCTTCGCGGTGATCGGCTCTAACCAGCTCATCGAGGTCCAGGGGAAGAAGATCCGCGGGCGTCTGTATCCGTGGGGCGTGGTGGAGGTGGAGAACCCAGAGCACAACGACTTCCTCAAGCTGCGCACCATGCTCGTGTGAGTGTCGCTCAAGCCCGGGCGATCCAAGATGGCGTCCTGTTCAAATCAACGGCTTGAGCTCAGTTGCGCATGTGCCACCACGGAGACCGAGAGATTAGCGGAACTTCAGGATGACAAGGGACACTAAAATCCCCACAAAATCTGACCTTTATGAAAGCTGTAGGTTCTCTGTCAGCTGAGGTCGCGCTGTTTTAGTTTTCATTGAGTTCTTTTGGGAACATTTCTGGGTGGCCCACGTGAATTTAGTCTGGTTCAGTCTGCAGTACCGCGAGAATCCCCCGAGCACATGGGTTCTTCAGCTCCAAAGCTAGTAACACCCTATCCAGTTAATATAATGGATCCATGGTGTCACTGCTCTGAACCAGGAGCAGTGTTTAGCGTCAGCGCTAAACACAACTGCACACGTGACTTTTACCATTGAAGTGAATGAATAATGTGAAGCGTCTTTTAGTGTATAAAAATGGCTGTATAAAACATCTCATTAGAAAACATGTTTTTTTTTTTCAATCTTGTTATTCACTTTTTGACTTTGGGCTGGGATATGATTGGCAGAGTGTGGGTGGTCCTCTTTGTCAACTCTTCTTTCAGATAGAGAAGTCACAGAGGCAAAAAAAACAAACAAATTCTAGTGATGGAAATAAACTAGTTAGATTGATTTGATTATAGTTCTTGAAAGTTAGGTATCCCAGTTTTTAAGCTTTTAAAAATACAAAATCTTCCAAATTGTTTATATATGTCTTAGTTTTACTGTATGGTTTTCCTCCATGAGTGTGTTTGAGTCCAAGGAGTGGAGTGTCTGAGTCCTTGTTGTTGGTGGAACTCTGTCGCCCTCTGGTGGCTGACTGTGGTGCTGTTACAGGACTCACATGCAGGACCTTCAGGAGGTGACCCAGGACCTGCACTATGAGAACTTCCGCTCAGAGAGACTGAAGAAAGCCGGAAGGTCAGCACCTCTCACACCACATTATGGATATTATTACAACACCGATGAAACGTCTGCGTCCGTAAAGTGGAAAAACAAATAAATCAGTGAGCAGGCCGTAGAGCAGGCAGTAGTCTAATATACTGGAGACAAATTAATGTTAAGAATCTCTAAGTCTGCTTTAGACAATGCTAGCTTCATTATCATAACTATTTTTCCGCTCATCATGCCAGAATGGATGTGTATGAGTGAGCCAGGATCAAATCTATTCACATGTTTTGCCTAATAAATTATAATAAGTGAGAATATATTTTTACTACCGACTCATCCTTATATGTTGAGGTTCTAATGGGCAGGACTAGTATAGATTCTCTTTTGTCTCATGTTCAATCTTCGAGTTAGAAAAGACACAAAGCTTCTGCCCTTGACTACAGGCAGAGTCTTGGTCTGGACTTCAGATAAATGTCTATAATGATAAGTTAATTTCTGACCCCAAGAACTGTTTAGCGGCTGTGTAAACGTGAAGAACTAGTTTAATATTCATGTTGTTTGTTTGGGATTGTGTTTGCAGATCTGCGGATGAAGAGGTGCTGGATAAAGACCAGATCCTCTTACAGAAAGAGGCCGAGGCAAGTGCATTTCAGACATTTACCCTCATTTCTGGACTAGAAGCCGCTACTTTTCTTTATTTCTTTGATCCCTGCGGCTTAAATAGTGATGTAGCTAATATGTGTATTTTTATTGTGGTAGAGTTGGGCCGTTGTCAGAGCAGAGTTTATGGACTACATCAAGTTTTGGCTCTATCCAGTTTTCGTAGTTGTTTATTGTCAAAACAGATGAATGTGAATGAGTACTAGCATGTAAGCTAACGGTTAATGTATGCATTCATATGTGGAGGAAAGTACAAAAGTCACTGCTGGAAGATATTGCCCCATCTTGAAAACACAAAGATTGTCTATTGTCAATGAGTCCTGGAGCAGAGTGAGAGGTCTGCAGAGCGTGTCAGGTCCTGGTCTGATTTACAGATGTTAGTAAACAGCAGGATGTGGCAGCGGTTCCTTCCTCTGTGTTGGTGTTTGACGGTGGGAATGTGATCTGTATCTCTGTTCTGAGAAACCGTGAGACTTTGGCTTTGTTTTTTAAATTTTTTTTTTCTGTCATTGAGGGATGGATTCTGTTTGATGGTTTAAAAAAAACATGCATTTACGCCTAATTCTAATGGCACAAATGTTACCCCGCTCTCTGTTTTGTGTGAGACAAATGCCCACAATTGTGAACCGCTTTGTGACTGCTCTGTGAAAGCTGCTATATGAACAAAGATTACTTACTTACTTACCCTTGTGTTATCCTCAGGGTCAAATTCACCCGCCACAGTGATTAAGCCCTGAATGCTTGATTATAATAAGTCATTTTGTTTCTTGATCAGGCCTGGGTCATTTAGACCCTTGTAGAGCCTAATGTTTATTGCATGTTTACCTTAGACTGTAAATATTAACAGATGTAGTCACGCCTATCTCCGCCGTTCTAACTAATGTGCCACAACTTCCGCGGTCTATGGGCAGTTTCAAAATGGCCGCGGGGGCTGGAAAAAGTTAAAAAACGCATCTGCGCTTGTGTCAGCCGCACGAGCCCCATTCATTTAACGAGTGCCTTCAAAGACTCACAGCGACTAAACTAGACTGGTCCAAAACATACACCCCCCTGAGCATTGGCACACATGTGGAACAGAGCTTTGGGCCAAGAGCCAACTTTTGGTCCATCCTGTAAAGACGTTTTTGAGAGGTCTGCCAATGCTATATGTTAGCATTGGCTAATTCTACTTTTGAGCCGGGACCCGCCCCCACAGATTTTTTACTCATCTTTGAATCGTTTGTGGTGGGTTATTTTGACCCGGGGGTAGCACAAACTACAAAAACAATCAATATTTCCTTTTCTTCTTCTGTGTTCGTTGCTTGCTGAGACAGCAGCTCCCAAAACAGATGCACAAATCACCGACACGCCGCTTTTTGTGTTTGGCGTCTCGCTTCTGTCACTATCATATTTGGAGAGAATGTGAGCTTTGTGACTCTGGTCTGTGAAAGGCGCTATGAAAATACAGATTACTTACAAACATCATGTATAATTCGTGAATCAGAGAAACTAGGTACCGGAGCTTTAATCCTTCACGTTCTGTCTTGTGTCCACAGCTGCGGCGCATGCAGCAGATGATCGCACAGATGCAGGCGCAGATGAACATGAAGTCGGACGAGTAGAAAAACCACAACTTTCTAAAGGTTTCTCTGTGAATGAGAGACACGGAAACTTCCTCCAGGTTCAGACTCGGATCAGAAACGCCTGCTACACTTTTACACAGTCACCTACAGCTCTGCTTCATGCACTACTTTTACAATTAGAACATAGGAAAAGGTTTTTGGGCTCACTTTAGGTTTGGCCCTCCCTAATCAACAGCTAATTTGTGTATAATTAATGGTTAATTGGTTCTTTTTAAACACTTACTATTATTCTACAGCGAGGGTTTTTCTAATTTCACCTCAGAAAACATTTTGAGGGATCCACGGGAGTCATTCTTTGAGCTGCTTATGTCAGTTTTAGTACTTTATGTGATCGAGTGGATGAAGATTGACGCCTTCTAAATGACCAATTACCACAAATTAAACTTGCACTGTCAGTCAATTCAGTGCAAGCCTAATTATCCAAGCTGCCGGCCTCTCATTAAGTACCGATTACTTTATAATTGATGGTTAATTAGCTCTTCATTGGTATTTATTAAACTTATTGGTCCGTATTCTACAGCTAACTAGCTACTGACTGACACAGTGGGTTAAGGTTTGGGTTAGCGTACACAAATTAGCACTTAATTAGCTGTTGATAAGCGAGGGATATTCTAAGGTGTTAGCTTGTTTTTGAAAATAAGTTAAAATAGGAGCACAGCATGAACAGACTGTTGCCGGGCATTTTCCCAGATTAACTATATATATATATGTATTGCCTTATTACTGGGATATTGAATTATTGTATTACTTTCTGACTGAATAATTCCATTTACAATAATAAATATGTGAACGTAGACAACTATCAGCCGCGTCGAAGCCAAGACTGAATCAGGACTAAGTTAATCATAGTTAACAGATAAAGTCGATCATAGATTTGATACTGAACTAAAGGCACATTATGTTTGTGTTGTATACGTCTATAATAATACAGTTGTGTGTCTTTTGTCTTTTCTTATCAATATATTCAACTGTTTTAGATCAGGGGTGTCCAAACATTTTACTCAGACTTGTCAAGGGGCAAAAATCCAGATATTAAAGCTTAAAGATGGTTTTATTTGTCTGTACTATCTCACAACGGCTACATTAGCGCCATATCACTAATCAACTGCTAATTGATGGTTAATTTATGGTTAATTAGCTCTTAAATGGTATTTATTAAGCACTTATTAGTCCTTTTTCTACATGGCCTCATTCAACATCTAAGGAACTACTGACACTTCCCATGTGGGTTAGCTTAGGGCTACTCTAATTAGCACTTAATTAGCTGTTAATTAGTGAGGGCTAATATCACGTGTTACTTGTATTTTGTGACACAATCAAAAACGAATGTCCCTAATACACAACTTTACAGTGAGGGTCAGTATTGGTGGAGCTGGAGTTGGCTGGATGACGCTGTGAATTTGTGTTTTTAATCTTAACGACCTCTTTGCGTTAGCAAGACACGGGCCTGAGGTTGGACATGCCTGATCTAGATGCTGTAAGAGGACTGTGCCTTTGTGCTGTTTGTTTGTTTGGGAAAGGGAAAAATATTTACTTTGTGCATTTTAAACAGTAGGAAATGACACTACACTGAGATTAAACCATGTTCTAATTGTTTACATGTTTTTTTTTAAAGTCTGTCCATTACATTGTATGCGATAAGAATTTTTTTTCACGCTAATTATTGCTAATATATCGGTTTCTCGCAGGGTGGCCTTCAGTAGTTTAGCTGGTGTCGACTATTGGAAATAAAGTTTTATAGAATAAAAAATATTCAAACTGAACTGTGTTTTTGTATGTTTTGTTTAAACCTTTTAATATTCTGTGTGTGGACTGAATGAATCAGTCTACACACAGAATATTGAGACAATAGTGACATTCTCCTCACGTTAGTAAACAGAGGGATCCATGAATGACCAGGAGCACATGAACCAATTTTAGATCTTAGTGACCAAGTGGATCTAGATTGAAGATTTTTGCTTTAATTGCAGTAAAAACATGAGCCAAACAAGCCTTTACGTTTTTGAAATGATCTGGTGCAAGTGCAGAACTCGCCACATTTAGATTGAGTCTTCACAACCTTTTTCTGTGCAGTTTTGGTTCACATTACAGTAAAAAAGGTTACAATAGCCAAATGCTAAAAATCAGCTTTACATAACAGATTTAGTCTCCATCCATCCATTTTCTACCCCTTAATCCATTTCTGGGTTGGGGGGGGGTGGCCAGAGATGCCACCCAGTACACAGAGCACCAGCCTCTCACTGATCCTCTGCAGGTGGTGAGTCCACAGGACGATGGCTGCTCTGGCATAGCCTTGATCTTTCAGCAGGTGCTTCAGGCAAAGTGGGGTTAAGTGTCTTGCCCAAGGACACAATGACAGCAGTCATCAGTGGGAGTTGGTGGAGGTCTCATGGTGGACTTGAACCCACGATTGGCTCAAAGGCCAATGCTCCAACTGAGCCACTGTCGCCCCGACAGTCTCCAACAATTATAAAGTAGATCAAAAGGGCAATGCAAGCAGCAGGATGGCCCATGTCTATCCTAGACCATTTCTGTATCTGCATGGTGGGTTCTCAGGCCCACATTGGGGGATCCACTCCCAGACTGACAGAATTGTCCACTGATCTATCAACTTGTTTTTGTACAGCCCTAAATCACAAGCTACATAACGATCAGCAATTGATCCACCATGGCTTTATACATTTTAAAAAGTTGAAACATCAACAATCGTTAACTTTCTAGAAAAAAAAGAGTATGGCCTCACTTGTTTGCAGTATTTACCCCTGATAAGTTGAAAAGTACAATAAAGTCAATTGAATTGTATATGAGTTAAATCATTTATTTGACTGAATCATTGGGTACAAAAACATTTGGGTCAAAACCAAGGAAATATATACAAGAGTTTATCTACAGGAAGAATGGATGTGAATAAGTAAGACCAGGACCGGAGCAGGACGAGTGCTGAAGTTAGACCAGTGCTGAATGTTTAAGTCACTGGTTTTGAGGCGGCGACGTCCGACATTTTCCACTTTTCAAACAATATCTTTTAGTCCATTGAGTTTTACTTAAGAAGCCTCTTCGTCGATCTTGGGAGCCAGGTAGTACTTGACATGTCCCATATCTGCAATCTTGTACTCCACCACTAGAGGGAGACACACGTCAGTATAGATCCATGAACACAGTCTGCTGTTGTGAGGTTATGCATTAATAGAAGTGAAACAGGATTATTGCATCATAAGTGAAATGGTTAAATAAGTACATTTAATTGTTTAAAAAACATTTTAAATAAAGGGATAGTATAATATCCAGCTAACCAGGCTGACTACTTTTCACACAGAAATCAAAAATGCTGAGTTTATCCTCATATTGTGATTACACCAGAGGTATTACGTAGTAGAAATATATTGCAGTATTTTTCTTAAGAAAAATAGCATGTGCCAGTCCTAGTAAAAATTAGGGTTGTCCCCCGTACTACACCTCAGTTTTTACAAGACACGCTTACTGTTAAGCTGTAATTTTATTTTTAATTTAGACACAAATTTCTTTACACACAAACCTAACTAACATTACTTTTCAGAATCTATTGAATCACAAGATTAAAGTCTCATTTTATGCAACCTAACGGTCAAACTGGTTGCTGGGATTCAGTTATTGTGTAATTTTTTCGTGTTTAAACCAGTTTAAGTATCAACATCAGTTTTAGCAGCTGATTTTTGATGCTTTTGACTGATTCATGGAGACTTACCGAGGGGGATATCCGCCGACATGCTGAGTGTGACGGTCTTCGACAGCGGCGTGGCTTTGGTGAAGAAGTTGAGGTAGTTCAGAGCAAAGATCAGCTGCACCGGCTCGTTCATCTCAATAGACACCTACAAAAACAATATTTAGTCACAAATTAAGACTACACGTGTTTGATAACTGCATCGTCGCTGAGATCGTAAACGTACAGCCTCCTCCTCCTTGTCCACGCTGCTGGTCTGGGAGAGCTTGACGTTCCCGGTGCCCAGTTCTCCGGACGCAGAGAACTTGACTCCGTCTTTGGCGCAGGAAATCATGACGGCGTCTCCGATCTGAGACAGGTCTCTGCAGATGCGGGCGAACTCTCCGGACGGCATCTTCACCACACAGCTGTATTCTTGCTCCTTTAGTAATAATAAAATGAGAGCGGATCAATATACAGTTTATATACATAGAACATATATGCATAATAGTTTTTTGTCTTGGTCCTAAAAAGCCTTACAACTGTATTATAAATGCATTGATAATCTACACATCTATCAGACCACAACTATGCAGCAATCATTTTATTAGAAAACACAGTGTACTAATAAGAGCTCTACAAGTCACAATTTGACACTTACCATTTTCAGTTTGTCTGAAAAAGTGAATCTAAAAACGTGATGGAGCCCAAAAAAAATATTAATTTATCCAGTTTTGAGAGCGGTAAAGTAGATTTTATGATATAGTTACCTTTGAAATGTATGTGCCCCAGCTTTAAACATCTGTATAGTATTTGATGCTGGCATGTTATGGTCTTGAACGTGAAAAAGTCCAAGTGCAGACTTGAGATTTCTCTTGTCAAATTCCCAAACTAATTTCGTCGCCACCCACAACGGACTAATGTATGGATTGCTGGTTTTATCAGTTTGATTCAGGAGCAGAAGATGGAAGCAGATCCATTTGTATCAAAAGTTACAGACATTAACACTTAAGCTAGAAAACCTTGTGACTTCAAAAAAGAGGTAAAAAGGTTGTGATACGTTTTAAACTGAAGGACACATGTAAACTATAAACTGTCACTTACTGGGATGCCGAGCTGTTCCACATCCAGGTCCATCAGTTTCATCTCATAGTCTGAAACTTTCTCCTGGTCTGAAGAGAAAACAGACCCGTGAGTGACTCCCAAACGAAACATTGCAGCGGTCTAAAAATGTAAAACTTACTGGTCGTTTCGAAGACGAGGGCGAGCGTGTCTGCGTTATCCTCTGCTCTGAGTGTGATTATGTCATCGTTCCCTGCGCACTTCAGGATCTTTGACATACTGCAAAGAAGTGAAGAGGAATTAGACTTGTACAATCCTAGTGATGAACTTAAGCTCAGACTAAAAGTTGAGGCAAACTCAGACAATATAAAACATTACATATTTCAAACATTTATTCATGAGTTTACCTTCGGCCAAAAATACAATGTTTCATTATATTATTCCCATTGTGATTCATTAAATGTTTCCATGTTCATATAATATTTTGTGTAAAGTTATTTTATGGATCAATAGTTTGTCTAAATCCTGGGCAGCATCTGATTGAACCCTTTCCTTATGCCTTGAATTGACTTATAGCTACATTATGTTATGACATATATGTTCTTCAGTTTATGAAAGTCTTAAATGTTAAACAGTTTTATGAGATCTGACCCTCCCTGGGTAGCTATATCGTAAATCAAACTTTATTCTTCATTAAACTAGTTTGCAGCTGAAGTAATATTTAACATTAAGTTTTGAAACATTCATTTAAACTCTAATCCAGTGCGTTGTAGAAGTGCAATATTAACACAAAAGGAAAGCCGGAAGCAGGAAAGTTCCCGGGTAAATTGCATCTCCCGCCAACCCCTCCTCTTCCGGTTGGGGTGAAGTTGGCGCTAAGATGACATGATGACAATAAACCAACACATGTCTTAATAAACAATGAAATAAATCCTTTTTAAAAATCACATACGTGTCTATGTCACATTTATTTTTTTGACAGTTACAGAATTAAAAAACACAGTTTGAAGATTGCTCGATACCAGGACATGCCCGGACAACAGCACCAAGATGGCCACTGTTAGATAACTTTGCTAAAGAACTGAATGAAATCAATGAGATATTTCAGTCATTTGGCTGAGAGTTGGCCATCGTTAACATCTTAATTTGACTGATAGTGTGAGATTACAGTCGCAATCGCTACTAAGAGGTTTTAATCACAAGATAGAAAGGCTAAATGCTTACCCTGGCATTAGTTGGCACATTCTACATACAAGAATTAACTCCACACATAATTAACACATCCACACTAACACTGGCCTTAGATATTGTCCCAGTATGAGTTAGTGTATATTACCTGCTTAGATTGACCCCCATGGCCAGGTTTCGGTCGCATCTGTACGTGTCAAAGCCGTCGCTGCGCAGGGTGAGCTGCACCAGCGAGACGTGGGAAGAGTCCATGCTCTGGAGGGAGATGCCCGAGGAGCTGACGTCCCAGCAGGCCTCCGTGATCAGGTCCTTCAGAGCCTCCAGCACTTTCTTCAGGATGGATCCCTGGACCAAGCGTGCCTCAAACATTGTGGATGTGGAGGTTTAGCGACTGCGTAGGAAGTGAAAGTGATCGGTTGTGTTTAGCTCCCCTCGGCGGTGGCTAAAGCGGCAGATGGAGGCTTGCAGATGGGCTTTGTGTCCCGGGTGTGATGAGAGGAGCTCCGGTTGTGGATGAGCAGAGGTGCAGGAAGAGCAGCAGTGAAGGTTTGAGCTGAAAGCGCGCGCTCACCTCTGGACTTAAAGCCTCGGCGCAGCTACGTCACATCCGGGTCTGACAGTGGGGAAAAAAACCGCGCACACAACTTTAACTTTATTTATAAACAATGAATTATTTATCCATGCACATCATTTACTGTTTATACAATTTTGTAAATTTATACTTATTTCTATAACAAAAAACGACCCATGGTGATGTCACCGTAAGTAGTTCTATGGTATGGTACCATACCGTGTCTTTTTCGAGAAATGTTTTTCTGAAATTACATTAGTTAACACAACCTGAAGAATCAAAATCACTACTTGAAAAAATGTGCCATAACGTTTCCTGTATTTTTTTGTGCTGAGACACTTCACCCACATTGCCTAGAATGAGTCTGATGTGTGCGAATGGTTGGTGGTCGGAGGGTTGCATCGTTTCTGTCAGTGTGCCCCAGGGCAGCTGTGGCTACAGTAGTAGTTTATCACTACCGTGTATGGAGTGAATGAATAATGACATATGAAGAGTCTTTAAGCGTCCAAAAATCTCTTATAAAACCGATGCATTATTATTCTTCTATTACTATCTTATAATTGTCTTGAATAGAGAACAAAATTATTTCATACAGATGAGTATGTCTCAATTGAATGTTCTTGTACTGCCCATTGAACCATTGAAATCTCCCAGTGGGACATAAATGGATTGTAGATGAAAGAACCTTTTATTTTCCAACATAGAAACAGTTTTATTCAAGGGATGTCTGTTGATAAAAACACACAGCAGCATTTGTAATTTCATGTCCACATTTATTTTGCACAGTTCATACAAAGAAGGGAAGAATCTGCAATGGTACTTATTGAACCCTGAGTACTAAACATTATAGGTCACTTAAGGAAAGGTCGACTGATTTTAGCGGTAAGCTGAGGAGGAGTACAAAAATGTGCGTTTTCCCTTTACATGTGGAAATTATTATGTGGATATTTAGCATTTGTCTCCCAGGATGTAGTGAGTGGCCATGGCGAGGATCGGGGCTCCTGTGGGGACGCCAGGGAAGGGGCCACTGGATCCAGCTATGTCAATGTGAGAGTACGGCAGAGGTGCTTTAGAATCCACTCCGTGCTGAAATAAAACAAACCATGTTAAAAAATGACTGATACAAGAACACACAAACATTCCAAGTGTTTTTTTTAAATCACTGTACTTGTGTGTTCTGATCTGTTTTGGTGAAATGACAGCTTAAGATAAGATAGACTTTATTGATCTCACACAGGAGTGATTCTATCCATGCCATGCCAATGTACATTTCTCAAGATTTGTGCAAAAGACAGAAGTGTGCAAACAGGCTAAAGGCAAAAAAATATAGTCTTTTCAGGATAAATTATGTACACGAACAAAGTAACAAATGAAACACTTTGTAAAGTCCTCTGAAATCACTACTGTTCAAAAATGAATAACGTAAAATGAACTGGTCTGCAGAGGTGGGGAAAGTACCAATCTTAAGTTTAGCTCAGACCCGGGAAAACCGTGGTCTGGGGGCCACATGCAGCCCGGTTCACATTTCAATGCGGCCCCTGGATCCTCCTCAGTGAGGCCTCACACGGTCAACTCGACCACAAGCGGCCTGTTGCTCAGTTCAATGTATGTGATATTCAAAATATAAATAGCCACCAATAACATTAGCAGTTCTTTGTAGATCTGTATAAAAGTCCTACTCTTTCACACTCAGGAGTGGATGAGGGTACAACAAAATATTTGCAACTGGTTTGTTTGATACATTTTGAGGAGAGTTGATCAGAAATGGGGTTAGCACCTTGTCGAGCCCAGAGGCCATGATGAGGAAGGCTGCAGGCGTCTGGTGTCCGCGGGGAGTGGCAGAGGACGGCAGGTTGTTGCACTGGAGGATGTCCTCGTACTCAGACTTGCCTTTGTGGAACTCGTAATCCTCCCTCCGGATACGGGACACTTCAAACTCATCTCCGAGCACTTCCCCGGCTGCAAAAAAAACAGGGACGGTAATGATTCATTCTGGAGTGGTTCGTTCAGCAGTGACACAAGTGGAACAGGTTTCTGCCGTTTACATTTGGCTTGGACTAAAAATGAGCAAAAACCCTGAAGCTCAAGAACCAGGAAGTTAGAATAGAATAGAATAGCGAGAATAGTCACTATTATATGTTGGTGCCACACTGCACACTTGACTCAAGCAATTATTACCCCATATTTTATCTTAATTTTAGTACATACTGACAGTCTTAAAACAAGATAATTTAGTCTCATTCCAAGAGAGATACTTTTGCTTGTCCCATTAGCGAATCTAGTTTTAAGGCAGTCAAAATTAAGAAATGTTACCAAATTTGAGGAATGCTTTACTTGTTTTTCATCACTTCTTGCACCAACTCGTATCTGAATCTGAACTCTGACTCTGAGGAGCACTGGGACTCCTCAGACTGCATGTTGTGGTCTGATTTGATCCCAATATTTTAGGACCAACAACATGACTGGGTTAACAAACAATAAAACAATAAGAAACCAGGGTCAGTAGCCATCTTTGGCAGCATCTAGTTTTAGAGTAAAAATATCTTCATACCTGGGATATCAATGGAGCATATGGCTAAAAGTTGGTGGAGCCATTGCTAACAGCTAGCCAACATGTTATCAGCTAGCTAAGATAAGATTTTCCTTTATTCATATCACACATAAAACTATACACCTTTTGTACAGTTTTATGTGCCCTTTATATCTTATAGGAGGAGAATTATTTATTTTTCTGTGCGTTTCACAGTTTTACAGTCAGTAATGGAGCAATACTGAAGGTCTGTTTGCTATCGTCCAAACTCCTCAGGCGTCTCTCGGGCAGAAGAACCATTAAATCTGCAAATCTAACCTTTCTGCCATTTAGCTGCATTTCCGGCGCGGTGAGCTGGACCATTATCCATAATTATCTGCAGAGAAAACACAGGATCAAACTCTGAATCCTGCAGTGAAAGAGAGAAAGGTGGTCCCGTGGCTCACAGAGTAGTCCGGTCCCATGGCTCGGATGGCGTGTCCGGTCAGAGTCGCGATCGTGAAGAGCTGAGGAGACACTTCACCCAACGCCTGAAACATGAGGAGCAGAGGATTTACTTAAAAACTAACAGTGTGAATCACAACAAAGTATAAGATAAACCTTTATTATTTCTTCAGTGGGAAATTTCATATATAATGCGTTATTTGAGTTAATTTCAGTCCTGAAACATGATCTTGAGAATGTCTCCTTTGGCGTTTCATGTTATAGACTGAAATGTATGTAGGAAACATATGGATAAATATGTAAGGGATGAATAGAAAAGTTTTAAGCCCAATACTTTTACCGTTTTAATACGACATTTTTCTGTTGATAAACTGTATTGCCTTTTTGATCTGACTTTTTTTTTTTTTTTTTAATGTACCGTTAGCTCTAAATTGCTTAAACATTTATCATTTTTTCCCCAAATTGACAAAAATTAAGAGTGCTTGAATGAAGTTACATTTTTCCTGACTTAGTAAATATTGTATCTTGTCGCACTGGTATTGTGTTTTTAGACCAACTTTGACCGTCTCACAATCATGATCCCATTCACAAATACTGTTATAACAGTCATAATGTCCTTTAATCAAGACAGAACACTACTTCCAGAAAAGACAGATTTACAAATTGTTTACATTCAGCTGCTGAAACATGATCCAAAGACACAAACCTTCTCCTTCATCTCACACAGCAGATCCACCATCACCATCCGTCCCTCTGCGTCTGTGTTCCCCACCCTCACTCTGCGACCGGCACGAGACAGAAGCAGCTCGTCGGCCACGTAACAGTCTGGAACACACAATAATAAGAATAATAACAATAATGACAACAATAACAATAATAATTCTTTAGTAGAGAAGTGAGACTGACCTGATCCCACGCTGTTGCGGACCATCGCCATGGACCCAATAACCTTCAGATGCTTTGGCTTCAGTTTGGCCAAAACCTGTTCAAACACAAATGCCCAAATAAATTAAATAAACTTTAAATGACAGTGAAAATTTGCAGTCAAAGTCATTTCTTCAACTCTTTGTCAGATATGTTCATCAGAGTCTCAGGTATGTGACGTTTGCCAGTACTTTGAGCCCTTTGATAAGCCAAAAGTAAAAAAAAAAAAAAAAAAAAAAAAACTCTATGGTAAACAACAGATCAAAACAAAGAGGCGCTCTCGTGGAACGTTAGTGTAAGTTATCAACTAATTCTCAACTCTGGATTCTAAAACAGCACATATTGGCATAAATGAAAGAAAAGTTAAGTGAAAAAAATACACTTTATTTCATGATAAATGGAGATGCGTAATGTAGTCATTTATTAAGTATTGATACTAATAAATAAAATTTGATACTTGGCAAAAGCATATCAATAATCGATCGCGTGAGAAATTATCACGATAAATCACAATATCAATATATCGTCACACCCCTACAACACACTGTACAGACACAGCATAACGACTTCAAGCTCATTTTTGTTTAATGTGTATTATAGGGGTAGGATTAAATGAGTTTTCTCTTTCAGGCAACTATTATGGTTCATTTTATTTTTTCCCTTTTATGCATTCTAGCAACACTTTTAATTTTTTGTTGGAAACTGTGACTTGTGTCCAATGTGAAATGCCTGAAATGAAAAAACAAAAACTTCACCTGAAAGAAGCCAGCCACGGCGGCGGCTCCGCACTTGTCGCGGTGCATTCCGGCCATGAACCCTCCGGCTTTGATGTCAGCTCCACCGGTGTCGTACGTGATTCCCTGAAAACAAAATGTATTTCTGTTTTCTAGAGCAGAGCTTCTCAACCAGTGGAGCAGGGTCCATTAGTGGTGCCTTTGGAAATGATCCAACATCACCTCATTGGTTTACCTTGACATGTTTGGACGGTTTACTTTAGATTCTTTATTGATCCCCAATAGGAGAAATTCACACCCATATAAAAATTTCTAACTACCGAACAATAGTGCATATTTTTAACTCATACAGGACTATTGTACAGTCTGACATGTATCCTTTGGCGTTGTGTTCATGTATGTGTCAGTGTGTGTCCGTCCGTACACACACCATATGACGTTGAGAATGTATCCTTTGGCGTTTCATGTTATAGATCGAAATATTTTGTAAAGTAGAAAATGCGGATAAAACACGAGATTACTAGAATATAGCAACAATCACGTTAAGAGTTTCAAGCCTAATACTTTTATGCTGAACCGTTCTGACATTTTTGTAAATTGATGCTTTTGATCTACAACAACTGAACAAAATCAGTTTTTAAACATGTACCGTAAACTCTAAATTGCTTAAAAATCTAATTATTTTTCCCCCTAATTGACAAAAAAAAACATTGCCATCTTACTATTGTCTGGTATCCTAGAATATAGAAGAACCAAAAACCTTTATTTCTACAAAGAACCTTCCTAAACTAAGATTAGAAAGACTTTTTTGCGCTCGTTTGATTTCCTATATAATACACTTTGGTAATACATATTTAATAATCATTAATTTAACCAACAATTACTTATTACTTAGTGTTTCTTTTAACCCACCCATCCATTTTCTTCCGCTTCATCCGTTGCCGGGTCGCGGGGGCAGCAGTCTAAGCAGAGACGCCCAGACTTCCCTATCCACACACACTTCCTCCAGCTCGTCCGGGGGACCCCAAGACATTTCTTTTAACCCGTTTAACTAATTTTGACGTACATTTATTTATTTATTTGAAAATGCACTTATATATAATACAGACCGCAGCTTTTCATGTTTGCTTCAGTTTCCGCTGGTGCTGTGTGACTGTTTTGAATGAAAAAGGCAGGTTTAACACTAGAGTAGAGTTAAATCTGGGTCTTTTTGAACAAACTTTCTGTTGTAGTGAAATCTCGTACTTTTCCGACCAGCATCAGCGTGGTGGTGACGGGGCCTTCTCCGCAGTACTGCAGTTTGATCACTCTCCCCTGATGACGAGGGACGCCTTCAGGAGCAGAGACAGAGCGTAAACTTCAGAGCATTATATGAACAACACAGAACAAGTATTAAACATAAAAACCCGCTTACAGTTTGCACATCGGTTCACGGCAGCGAGGCAGGGATACTCCTTCTCCAGGATCTTCACGTCACTCAACACCTCCACCTAGTGACAAAGATTGGTAATGTAAACCAAACACTTTCTTTATGTCCGGCACTAACGGTATTTAAAGAGGTACACTTAGTCATTTTTACTCCCATCTAGTGTATTGCAGTCAACTCTCTAGCGCCACGCAGTTCAAGTAATTTCAATTACAGCTACGGTAGCCTTCAAAGGACAATATTTTGGTTACGACATCATCCAGCCTCCACTCCAGTGATCGGGTACGCCCATTACATTTCTATCAATGGCCCAACTTTAACAACTCACCAAGTGCATGGTTTGACATAAGACATTATATTGGATTAAAATAGACATTTGAGCTCATTTTTCATAAAATAAACGTTTGTCCCAATGAGCAGATGCACTCCTGCCAGTTTGTCTACAGCAGAGGTGTCCAGACCTGTGGCTGCAGGGTTTCTATCAGACCCAGCAGGAGCAGAGCAGACTCCACCCAACTGAACTCACTTGAGGAAATGGGCGGAGTCTGCTCTGCTCCTGCTGGGTCTGATAGAAAACCTGCAGCCACAGCGGCTCTTTCTGGACCGGTCTGGACACCCCTGGACTACAGTGTGAAAGTAGCCTAGCTTGTTCACACCAGATCATACTTTGAGTCAAGTTTCAATGCCAAGTCAACGGAGATGTACATCTGTTAAAATATTTGCATAGTTACGCACATTATAGCAGAATAGAAGGAGAAATAAGAGCACTCAGATTATACACATATCAAAGAGGATCTATTATTTAAGATACATTTTAGTATTTGATGTTTGAACAGTGTCTTTACGGCAGAACCAGACGCACCTTCACCGGACTGTCCTTGAACAGCTCCTGGACGTAAACCGCGGAGAGAGGAGCCGCCATGCGCTCGGGGTCGGAGCCTCCGATGTCGCGACAGGCCACTCTGAAACACACACAGGGATCCAGAATCTGTCTCCATCACGAACAGGAACAAAAAAAAAAAAAACAGTTCTGGCGCCTCACCTTCCGCTCTCCAGAGCCTCCGCCAGCTGCACCAGGCGCTTCCCCTCCTCCTCACGGGTAACCCATAGTCCCAGCACGCAGGCTTTCAGCTCACTCGGCTTCGTGCGGCTCTCTCTCACCTCCAGCGGCTGAAGCAAAAAAACATTTATTAATTTGGCTCCAAGTGGTCACTAGTCTTCCACAAAAGATCAACTCACATGAAACATACAGTACAAAAAGAATACAAACAAAATAACAAAAGACTGAATCATCCTTTCCATGATGGGAAATGTCCATTATAATTGGATGCAGCTTTTTATTATTATTGTTATTACAACAAAGGCAAGGCAAGTTTTTTTGTATCGCAGAGTTCTTACACAAAGTGCTGAACAAAACAAGATGGTGACGGTCAAATTAAAATCATAAATAATCACAGTACATTAAAAAGATTGTATGCACATCTAAACTGAACTGTTTTTAAACATGGATTTGAACATTGTCAGAAGAAGCCCGTCTCACATCTTCAAGAAGACTATTTAGCATGGTGCTGGAAAAACGACGCCATGGCAAGAGCGTTAGTGTGTGCCATCTGATGCACACACTGGGGTAGTCTTGCAGTTTTTCCAATGTGGTTTTACTGCAAATGGCAAATACATTCTTGAATCTTGATTTGTGTCCTCCCCATGTTCAGTCCTGACCCAGCAGGAGGCCAGTCCCTGTGCTCCTCAGAGTTCCAGCAGGAGGCCAGTCCCTGTGCTCCTCAGAGTCCCAGCAGGAGGCCAGTCCCTGTGCTCCCCAGAGTCCCAGCAGGAGGCCAGTCCCTGTGCTCCTCAGAGTCCCAGCAGGAGGCCAGTCCCTGTGCTCCTCAGAGTCCCAGCAGGAGGCCAGTCCCTGTGCTCCTCAGAGTCCCAGCAGGAGGCCAGTCCCTGTGCTCCCCAGAGTCCCAGCAGGAGGCCAGTCCCTGTGCTCCTCAGAGTCCCAGCAGGAGGCCAGTCCCTGTGCTCCCCAGAGTCCCAGCAGGAGGCCAGTCCCTGTGCTCCTCAGAGTCCCAGCAGGAGGCCAGTCCCTGTGCTCCTCAGAGTCCCAGCAGGAGGCCAGTCCCTGTGCTCCTCAGAGTCCCAGCAGGAGGCCAGTCCCTGTGCTCCTCAGAGTCCCAGCAGGAGGCCAGTCCCTGTGCTCCTCAGAGTCCCAGCAGGAGGCCAGTCCCTGTGCTCCTCAGAGTCTGATTTAGTCCATATGGCACTAACATGTCACAGATATACTTTGGTGCAGTTAATCACATAGACGTCTAGAATACAAAAGGCCCCAGAGAAGCTTCACAGATAAAACTAAACAATGACGATGTCGCCCGAGAACAATTTCCAAATCGTTTTTCTATTATTGGAGTCGTTATTGAAAGATTACATTGTCCTGTTACAAGAGTCATTTCCTCTCATTTGTGCTGAAACAGAACATGTAGTTTCAGGGCTTTGAGCTGCTGTCGTGATGAGAGCATTTAGGGCTAATAAAGGCATAGCGTGTATTCAGAATGCTGCAGCTCGAGTCCTGACTAGAACCAGGAAGTACCATCACATTAGTCCAGTACTCGGGTCTCTGCACTGGCTCCTGTGGCTCAGAATAGACTTTAAAGCAGCTTGTGAACCGTACAAGTCTTGCCAAGGCATCGCAGAAAAGTACATCTGAGACACTTTGAGTTGCCTTGTGTATGAGCTGTGCTATACAATTAACTTTATCCAAGAGTTTAGAATCAGCGATGAACAGAACTGACCATGTAGAGGGCGTGGAGGGCTCCCAGAGCGGCCACCAGAGTGCTCTTCTTGTACTGGGGATGTTCAGGACACACCAGCAGGGGGCGCTGCATACCGGTCTTAAGGGCCCTAAGAATACATGATATGAATAAACAGGCAACGCATCAGGTGTGAGCGAGGAGAGGTTTAGACAAATATTATCCATTATAGGTCATCACTTTGGATGTTCACATGAGAATATCATTTATCTTCAGCAGTTTTTTTATTGGCTTGTAGTAACAGGAAGTCAAACTTTGAATTTGCTTTGGCTACAAATAAACAGTTATAAAAGGGAAGAAATAGTTACAAAGGCAAGCTTCATAGAAAATCTATTATATACAAGTACACACAGTAGACATTGAGTAGTAAAACATGATCTCGTGGTAGAAATGGGGAATAAAGTTTAATAATGAACTGTATTTAGGAGATTTTTTCCCAAAAAGTGGAGAGGGCGGTTCTTTCCAAGAATTCAGGGAAATTCTAAAAGGTAATTACTTAATCACCTAGAAGTGGTGACAATATTCAAATATGTTGGTCGGACTTTCAATGGCATGTTTAGAGTCTGGACGATTCAAAACGCCATTACTCTGAAACAGTTAGTGCCCATTTATATGCTTTATATGCTTCATGAATCTAATCTAACCTAGACTAGTTCATTTCTGTGTATTTATTCGTTTAACATCCTCTGACGCCAACTATAAGTTACAGGCAGTTACAAAAGCAGTAATATTGAAACTGAAAATAAAAGTGAAGAACATTGTGTGCTTTTGTTAGTTCAACATCAATGACGCGCTATGTTCAAAGAATTTTAAAACTTGATTAACATAGAAGACTAAAACTAAAACCAAAATGAAAAGTTATTGAAAGAGCAAAGACATCAGAGGCGGGAGTGGCCATTAATGTGATGATTGGATAGTAGCTCGGTGTGGACTGGTTCTGTGTTAAGTCCACTTTACCGTTTGATCCCGTTGACGGCGGCATCGCTGAAGCGGCGGACGTCGTCGTAGTCTCGGTTCAAGGGTCCTGTAGACGCGAACAGGAGCCGGTTTCCTGGGAGTCCCGGAACTCTCAGGACCACCACCTCCGCACCTACAGCACTGTCCACCTACACACACACAGATATAGACATACACAATTATTGACCGACTGAACAAAGAGAAGGAAATTAAATGAGTAGAGGCAGCAAGTTTATTTCAATGACCGGTTTAAAGATTTTTTAACAATTTAGAACTATTTTAGTGTAATTAATGGAACAAACACAGACCTGACGGCCTTCGTTGAGGTTCAAGTTTAACAAAAGGAGTCTCCCTCATCTTTAAAACAAGCTTGGATTGTCATTTCATTTCATCACTCACTTTGGTTACCGGTAATTTAAATATTGATTTTTAACCAAAACACTTGAAACTGTAGGATTCAGAAGTAATTACAGAACTTGTTTCAGATTGAAGTTGTATTTGTTAAATGAGAAAGGAAAACATGTCACTTTTAAGATGAAGAGATTCTTTATTCGTCCCACATTGGGGAAATTTCAGTTTCAAGATTCTGTGATTAAATGAAAAGGCACCAATTTGTAGATTACTTAAATATTTAAATAATCTACAGCTACAGCCTTAACTGAAACCAACATTTAAAATAATACAGCTGTTTGGCAAAAAGTTAACCAGAGGTATCTTCCACCAACTTGGAGAAGCAGTGGCTCTACTCCGAGCTCCTCCTGGGTTAAAAATAGTCTATTTGGTTATTTTTTATTATTTTTTATTTTATTATTATTACTATTACTTTTTAATTATTATTTAAATTTGTTTTTATTTTTTTGTTTTTTGTTTTTGTTTTTTGTTTCTGTATTTTGATGGTCTTTTTGTGTGTGTGAGCTGTACTCATCCCTGCACTCTCCTTGAAAATAATAATAAAAAATTGATCACTAAAAAAAAAATAGTCTATTTGCATAATATTCCATTAGGCATTGTCCAGCACAATGTATAACTTTTTTCTTATTGTAAAATGTATAAGATCTTTGACTTACGATCTAAATGTTTATAGTGAGCACCAGCACTTTGTGTGCGTGTGTGTGCGTGTGTGTGTACGTGTACGTGTGTGTATTCAGACGTACAGCGCTGTAATCCTGCAGAGGAGCTTTGAGACTCTCCAGCTCAGAGGGCAAAGTCTCATAGCTCTCAGTCACCAACACGATCCCATCAAAACTACAACAAAGATGTGTGTCAGCGAAATGAAAACAAACAGGAGAAATTTAATTATCTTTAATAATCAACTCACTTCTGGTTCTTCAGATCTGTGGTCCACTCCACGGGCTGGACTCTACACAAGAACACACAGATCCGTTATCATTCGTCAGCAAAACAGAAGCTTTGATTTGAGGTCAAAGAGCGGAGTCTGAGCTGAGGAGGTCTGACGCAATCACAAGACTTTGTTCCTCACTGTCACTCACTACTTCTCATTTAAGGTAAGCGTTAAGCAACTCTGTGGTTCATATCCACACCAGACATTTGTGTCAGCTTCTCTGCAAATGGAATACCATCTTATGTGTTTTTCAAAGTATTATTATTAATAATAAATAATATCATCATCATCATCATCATAATCATAATCATTATTATTATTATTATTATTATTATTATAGGGAGAGTGTATATTCAAGAACATTTCTGAGAGAGTGGGTTGACGACTGTCCTTAGATCATACTGCATGATGTAGGAGAAATTCAGGTGTCCAGTAGCAGCAAAAATAAAATTGATCCTTCAAAAAGCTAATAATAAATAATATTAATTAACTTGAGGGGGAACCTAACTTTACCCCATACATTTTAGGTACTCTCTTCAATATAAACGTGGTAAAAGTTAATCTTCCTCCCTGTGTATGAACTATGAATATTTGTCCCAACAGAAGGATAATCGTGAACATTGGGAGAGGGTGGTTCTTTTTCAGTTTTGTCGGAAGAAGTTGATTCAAAAACTATAAACATTTATTTACACTTATGAACATTGTCATCAGGGTTTCTATGGACCAATGACTCCTGTGTTTGAACAGTCTGATTGTCTAATCATGTGTTGGTGAATCGACAACTTTTTAAAGTCCTCCATGACTGATTTTGGAGGACCTGATTTAGGGCTAGCCAAAAAACAAATTCAAATCGAAATGGAACAATACACATGTGAACCAAATTGTTTTGAGAGTCAGGAACTGGTTAGATGGATTCTATTAAAAAGTAAATGTAAAGTTTGACAGTTGTCTGAGAAAGAAAAGCTCTCAATGGCATGTTTAGAGTCTGGATGATTCAAAGCAATTACTCAAGGACTAAAATAGTTAGCGACTATTTAAATATCCATCCATCCATCCATTTTCTTCCGCTTCATCCGTTGCCGGGTCGCGGGGGCAGCAGTCTAAGCAGAGATGCCCAGACTTGCCTATCCACACACACTTGCTCCAGCTCGTCCGGGGGGAATTCTGATTGACTAGTTTGACGACCAATTTAATCTAATCTAGACTTGTTCATTTCCTCATATTTACTGGTTTAAGATCATCTGAGACCCAAAAAACAAATTACAGGCCAAAAATAGTCATATGGAAACTGAAAATCAAAGTGAAGAACAATTTGTAATTATGAAGTTTGTGCTTTTGTTAGTTCAGCATCAATGACACATTATGTGCAAAGATAGAAGAGTAATAATGAAACCAAAATGGAAAGTGATTTTAAACAGCATGGATATACTACATGTGATACTGCACAGGCACTTAACCACAAACCCCGGATCCCAGCTAGAACCATGGTAAAACATACACCTAGATAACAGAACACCATAATAAAACTTCAATAGATTACATGCTTTGATTTGACTGAAGTCAGGTATTTATGAAGATGATTCTGGCCTAAAGAAAACAGCATTTTACTTCCCAACAAAATAAATCCTATTCTTTTGTTATGCTGTAAAACGCTTACTGTAAGTAGTGATCATCAAAATCCACCCTTTGCCATGGAGAACAAAGCAATCAACATTTTACAAGCATAGCAGAATTCTTACAAGCCACAATAAAAGTGAATCCCGTGAGGATAAACGTACAATACGAACAACCCTCAAATACAAACATGTAAAAAACATGTTATGGTGGAATAAATAGTTAACTACAAAAGGGAAAACTGGTGTGCACAACAAAACAGGGCGGATTTGAACATTGCAGAATATTCTCATTATTTCAAGGAAGAAAAATGCCACGTGTGCCATATCAAAGCATGCAACTATTATAAATAAAGCCTAAATGTCTTTCCTGGCCCTTGTCTGACATGTATCTGTGGGTTTTGCTGTTTGAATGATCTTCTGCAGCTAATTCTAAACATGTCCAATGAAATCCACTTCATTTTTGACTCACAAACGGGATCTATTCTCGGATTTTAATTCACCAATGGTTACACGGTCTGTAATGTGGTTGGACTTACCTAGTGCACATCTTGGAGGAGGTCTGGCCACTGCACGAGAACAAACTAGCGTCTGATCCCTACCGCCGGCTACTCCTTTACGCATGCGCACTCTCCATATGTCACCTGATTCAGACTTTCAGATTTTTAGATTTTATTTAAATTTAATATTTTTTTGCAATGAATAATAAAAGAATCGTAATTCAAATAACATATACAAATGTGTATTTTTGGAGTACATTAGTTTTCCCCCACACACAGTAGCGGAAGAAGTATATTACGAATTGCATCTGAAACAACTCTAATCATATGTCCGCAAAAGGTACATACACAACATATTTGTAATTGTAAAATCAATGTATAATTTTCAGGGGACAGAAGGTAAATTGTCTGTTACATTTTTTTTCCCCCAACGCAAATCGGTATGAAAGCAACATTTCCCCCCTTCTACAAAGGATTAACAATATGATTTTTTAAGTGTACATTTGATTTAAAGGTTGATATCCAACTTATGGTATACAAGATACACAAGTAATCTCTAATTTTGAATCGATTTAGGGATAAACGTGTATGATGCTACTTTTTCCCCAAACGCAGAGTGGTAAAAAATATTTCCTTAAGACTAACTGCAAGCAAATTAACTATTTATAATCGTTTCCATGTACTAAATCTAATTATGACAAATTATAATATGAAAAAAACCCCATTTGTTTCAATCGCCACCGATTCATAGTGATTGTACGGCGTATCTGTGATGGGGAAAAACTTATAGCGACTCGTGTGCACTTCATGAACTCAACTGCGGGTTGGAATTCCTCGTACTGTTCACGTTTGGTTAGCTTAGGTCACGTTTGCAGCGTTTGGTAAATCATACAAAAAAGGCATTTGAAAAACATAATAACCAAAGACAAAAACAAAAACCATCCAGGGAGTGAAAAAACGTTTAATTTGCAATAAAACCAGGAAGTACTAATCACACACCAACGTGACTGTCTCGGGAGCAAAACAGCAGAGGTAAGTCAAGTTTACAGACAGTCCAAAGGGCGAGTTGTCAACCAATCTTTAGTATTTTATCATGCATTTGGACCTAGGGGTGCAGGGCAACTGGTAAGCACATAAACGCAAGCAGATTAACTGTTTAGAAAACTATTATAAACATAGTACTATCAAGAGGCTTCCACTACAACTAGTAGGCAGTTTGCACAAGGCAAAACAAGTTATCAGTCTATGCAATTAGATAAGGAAAGATAAGGCTTTGGATTGCGCTATTTTTGGACACGCTTCACATGACAGTATCTTTTCACTCCATGCACGTGGTGATCAGCCTCTTTTGTAGCCACAGCTGTCCTGGGGCAGACTGACAGAAGCGAGGCAACCAGTATATGCCATTGGCCCCTCCAACCACCACTAGCCATTCACGCACAAACCAGATCTAGGCAATGTGGGTTGTGGGTTAGGACTCAACAGTTTGACACTTTACAGCCACCCCACACAGTACTAACCAGGTCCTGCTCTGCTTAGCTTCAGTGGTCTGCAGGTGTCACCACAAATGTTCTTGAAATCCCGATACAAGAATGGGACAAATAAAAGCTGTTGTATCTGTTTAATTGTAATGTAATTTGAGATTAAACATTTATTTGTATTTCTTATAGATGAGATTTCTCCTGAGCTCCTTTCCCACAGTAAGAAGTTTGATTCGTGTTGCCGGGACGTCAAAGCAGAAGTGCAGGAGTTTCAGCGGCGTGGCCATGCGTCTGGTTCAGTTCCATCACGCTGAAGACCAGGGAAGGAGAGTCCGGGTCGGCGTGGAGCGAGGAGAAGGAATGGACGTGGTGGATTTGAAATTGTTTGATCCATTGGCTCCTTCCACCATGAAAGAACTGCTGGAGTTAGGTGACAAGGGCCTGGAGCTGGCAAAGAGGTAAAGTAATAATAGCATTGTGCAATATTTCAGCGAGAAGAAAGATGAATACACAAAAAAGTAAATTGTTGAAATTGATATATTGGCCATGATATTGGCTCATGTACAAAGACCCTTATTAAATTTCTAACTTTTATTTTTTCAATTGATTTTTTTTTAAATTGCATATAAACAGGAAAATGAATATTGTTTAAAAAAAAATATATATTACAAACATTGAAGATGAGTAACTTTCAAACCACAAAAACTTAAGGGTTAGGGTTATTATAACTAGTTCCTGGCTCTACAGGTTTTCACATGTATGTATTTTTGGCTTCTGTCACATCTTTAGATCAACTTTTCAGAAAGAAAAGCTGATCTAAAGAGCGGACCACCCTCACTCAGCAAGTGTCAATCAAAAAGTGACTCATCAGGCTCGTTCTTACACGTCTGCAAATATTCATGTTTTTCAATAAGCTAAAGACAAGTTGTGGTGTGATTTGTCCAACATTTTCTCAAGACTATTATTGAAGGCAAAGAAAAGTCCCCCAGCTTTAACAAAGGGAGAATTATAAACAAAATGTCCCCTTGCTTTCTCAGTGAGCACGTACTGTATCGTTGTGTGTCGCTTCAGCGCTTTGGATTCTGGTCGGTGTGTGCTGAGCCGCTCTGACGTCAGGCTGTTGTCTCCCGTCACGTCCCCAGAGAAGGTGGTGTGTGTGGGCATGAACTACCGCGATCACTGCCTGGAACAGAATGCCCCCATCCCCAAAGAACCCATCGTTTTCAGCAAGTTTCCCAGCGCCATCACCGGCCCCTACGACGACATCATCCTGCCTTCAGAGAGCCAGGTGAGGTTTAGAGCTGTTTTTAGATCCATCCACTCCACCCTTCTGTCTGAAAGCCCCTGTCTCAGTCCTGGAATAGCGTGATGTCATTGTACCACTATGACATGACACTCTGAGCAGCTTTCTGCCTTCTAAAACTTAAGTATTTCCCCCATTACATGCTTATTTCAATTGCACTTCTATTCCCCTCAATTACACTAATACACCCTTACACTATGCATACAATAAATAAATAAAAAGTACTGCATAACACTGATAAGATCAAAAATATCCAGAACAAAGTGACAAGCATTTTTTATTTACCCTTGTTCTTGTTTCACCATAAGATATTTTTTAATGTTCTGAAACATGAAATTACAAATTAAATCAATCACTGTATATATACACACACAAACTTACATTATAACACTGTACAACTGCGCGTCTTTCAATAATACATTTTATTTATATGGCACTTTTTTAGGTACAAAGTAAAAGCAAAAACTAGATGTAGATGTCAAAGCAGAATATCACCACTAGATGGAGGTAGTTCTACTGAATACTCAAACATTTCCAAAGATAACATTCTCACAATCATATGAAGGGACAATATGACTAAATGATAAAAATACTTTTTGAAAGTACAATGATCATAAATAGCCTTGTACATTTCCAAAATGCACAATATTTTGGCGTAAACCCCATGGTGCAACAATAAAAAAAATAAATAGAAAATTATTTTTCCAAGTCTTCTGGGACAAAAATAAACAAATCAGACTAGACATCCTTAAAAAACATGTTATCCATTTTCTTTTAAGAATGAGCCCCGTGAGTCACTATTTGACACTTCAGGCTGACATTTGATTGGCTGATGGAGGACGGTCCTCTTTTTTTCACTTTTCTGTCTAAAAAAAAGCTGTGACCGGGCCCATAATTCAATACATTACGGCTTCAAAGTTAGGTACCCCAGCTTAATAGTATTTTTCTGGTATTTCATGAACTCCTTGCTCTATTTCAGGAAGTGGACTGGGAGGTGGAGCTGGCGTTTGTGATTGGACGAAGAGGGAAAAACATTAAGGCGAGAAGCTTGTTTCTATAATTCTAAACTTCCACACTCTCATCTCCTCCTTCACAACTCCTCACCCAAACTGTGCCATACACATAAACTTGCCTTGACAGGAGGAAGACGCTCTCTCCCACGTGGCCGGGTTCACCGTGGCTAACGACGTGAGCGCGCGGGACTGGCAGATGAGGAGAAATGGAAAGCAGTGGCTTCTGGGAAAAACGTTTGATTCCTTCTGTCCCCTGGGCCCGGCTCTGGTCACAACAGACTCCGTGACAGGTGTGGGTCTAGCTTTCTCATGCACAAATGTTGGGCCTCAGTCGCATGTTTTAGATCAGCTTTATCAGACTTAAAAGTGAAGAGATTCTTTATTCTTCCCACAGTGGGGAAATGTCAGTGTTGCATCACCAGTTACAGTATGAATGAGGAGCACACAGCACAACGATTACTCTCGACTAAAATAAAATATTAGCATAATAAAGAAGCAAGTATAAAAATCTCACTTTAGAATAATAATGAAGCAAGTTGAAAATACCTGCCTGGATTTATATAGTAATATATTATTACTCATGAGATGAAGACATAATGTGGTGATAGATACTTTATTGATCCCTGTGGGTCTGATTATAACTCTCCCTTTTGGGACACACCCCAGCTTTAAAGGCCATATTGTTATGATTATAATTTTCAAATAATGTCTTTTTGAAATATAGTTTCACATTGATAAAGCCACCGTGAGATGTTTAATTTTTATTTATAATTTACTGGATGTAGAGCAGTGTTCTAGTCTTGAAGATTCAGTCAATTAGACACATTCTATTAGTATAATCTACAACTTGAGTATCCAGACCCAACCGGACCCACTACACACTGCCGGCTCTCAGATTCAGTTAATCTTCATAAGTCCGTGTTAGCCCCGCCCCTTTTTAAAAATGCTGCTGTGGTGCTTAAAGCCTAGCGTATACTCGCACGGCGCGGAGCTTACGGAGGTGACGTGACGTCACCGCAAGGCCCTTACGTTGCCTGCCGCGCAGCATACCTTCCTCTGTCTAGAGCAGATAAGGGGTATTTTTTTTTGTCTCTTAAACAATTCACTCCACTAAATCTGCTAAAGCATATTTGTCTACTGTATTTCTGCTCTGTACATTGAAGGAGTTTGGGCTCCGTTTTTTCACAACATTAATCAAAAATTAGGTTTCTCACCTTTTTTCAGACTGGGTTTTTGAATGGTCCTTTGCCGACGCAGGAGGGTCTAAGGACAGTAATGATCCAGGACATTTATGGACCTGGATCATCCCGCTCCCTTCGAACCAATGACTCCTATGTGTTTATTATTGCATTTCCTGTGTTCTGTTTAACTCTCTGCTCTGTTCTTGGCAAATCCACAACTTTGTAAAGTCCTCCAAGTCGGCTGCTTTAGCGCTATACAAAAATAAATCGAATTCAAACCCTCTGGTGATGTCATCAGTTACAACAGGGAAGTGAAATGAAATGACAGCAGCAATTATGTGTGATTTTACGCATCAATGGCTGGGTGCAGTTAAGTGCAGCGTGGCGGTGAGTTCAGAGCTGAGTCTGTCTGCTCTTTCAGATCCACATAAATTGGCCGTACGTTGTCTGGTTAATGGGGACACGGTGCAGGACAGCAGCACGGAGCAGATGATCTTCGGCGTGGAAAAGCTGGTGGCCTGGGTTTCGAGGTGAGGGTGAAAATACAGCGGAGAGATGCAGCCAAAGCACCGGCACTTTGCAAAGACGGCGGTAATTAAAGGTGGTGTAGCTCGCAAGCCACAAACACAGGCAGCTGCCGTACATCTCTGATATGTGTGATAAATAATAATGCATTTTATTTATAATGCACCCGACATTTCCACAAGACCTCAAAGTGTGACAGATTCAAATTCATTACAAATAATACATCAAATATCAAAAACATACAACTAAACCTGAGCCTAATGTTCTTGTTCTATTCTTCTTATGTCTCTCTACTCTCTAGGCAAGGCAAGTTTATTTATATAGCACAATTCATACACAAGGCAATTCAAAGTGCTGAACAAAACAAGAAAGCATTAAAATCATAAATAATCACAGAACATTAAAACGAAAGATAAAAATATAAAATCCCTCAGTTGTATGCACAGCTAAACAGCACCGTTTTTAACTTGGTTTTAAACATCGTCAGAGAGGAGGCATGTCTCACAACTTCAGGAAGATTGTTCCAGATTTTAGCATGAATCAGAAAAGCAGCCTCCCCATGTTTAGCTCTGGGCACTAACAGGAGTCCAGTCCCTGTGCTCCTCAGAGTCCGGGCTGGTTCGTATGGTACTAACATGTCACTAATATATTTTGGTGCGAGGCCATGGAGAGACTTGTACACAAGCAGAGCTGTTTTAAAGTCTATTCTCTGAGCCACAGGAAGCCAGTGCAGAGACCTGAGGACTGGACTAATGTAGTCGTACTTCCTGGTTCTAGTCAGGACTCGAGCTGCTGCATTTTGAATGTACTGCAGCTGTTTTACAGCCTGTTTGGACAGACCTGTGAGCAGGCCATTGCAGTAGTCTAACCTACTGGAGACAAATGCATGGATAAGAATCTCCAGGTCTGCTTTAGACACTATGTTTTTGATCCTGGCAATGTTTTTTAGATGGTAAAAAGCTGCTGATGTTACTGATTTGATGTGGCTATTAAATTTTAAGTCTGAGTCCAGTATTACCCCTAGATTTCTGACCTTGTTTGAAGGTTTTAGGGAGAGAGACTGTAGGTGACAGATGACGCTCTCTCTTTGTTAAGACTGGCCAACCTTTTATTATAATCAAGTAAAATAGTTCCACACAAAGATGTGGAACTTTGTGCCAATCCATGTGAAACAAACTGGCACAGAGATGAGAAAAATTAGCTACGAACTAAGACAAGAAATTAAACTTTTGACTGTCACAAGGCTACTGTACAGATTCTAATGTGCATGCCATGGGACTTTATATAAAAAAAATAGGAGCTTGAGAATTTAAGAACATCCATGACATGTTGGTGCCATATGAACCATCTCAGATTCTTAGGAGCACAGGGACTGGCCGCCTGCTGGTGCCCAGAGTCAGAATTAAGTCAGCGTGCAACAGTCTTCTTAAAATTGTGAGAGAGGCTTTTACCTTGACAATGTTCAAATCCATATAATAAAAGGATAAAACCTATTGGCAAAAATCTATCCACAGACAATAAATATTGAGGCTATATATTTAGCCTCAATATAAACTATAGATATAGTTTTATCCATCAGTTATTGAGTGATAAGTTGATATAGAAATTACTGACAGGCCAAGTCTCAGTTGTCTTGTAAACGCCTCACGGATCTCACGGATGAGCAGGAGGAAGGAAGCATGGAGAGGGACGTTTTTGGTCCCAGGTTTAGGGCAACAGAGAAGGCAATGTCCCCAAAGTTTAGGGCCCACGAGCTGGAGCCGGACCTCCGACCTGAACAGTGGTTGAGTTTGAATGAGGTCTGAGACGTACTTTGAAGCCAGTCCACTCAAAGCTTTAAACAACCAAATCTTAAAAAAAAAAATCTAAAACAGACTGGACTGCGGACCTGTTATGACTGTGTGCCCATCTGTGTCAAACATGTAGTGATAAATGTGTTTGTCCATCTCTGCAATTGGCTTCTTCAGAGATAGCAGCTGAAACTCTGCAGTGCATGTCTCTGTAATCCCCCAGTTCTAGTCTTCGTCCATTGTTTGCACACGTTGATGGTGCGTGAAGTGGGTCTAATTAGCTTTAACGTCAGCATCTGTACAGTGTGGAACATACTTCACTGAGTAGGAGTGTGTAAACAAATGAAAAAGACATTGCCCTCCTACCTCTGATCTCTACGGCTCAGTAAATCAGGCGCATTCAAGGGTGACACACAAAATGTACCGCTTTAAATAATGAGTTATTTTTCTTGTAGATGCATTTACGTTGGACTGTTTCTTGTTGCCTTAAAAATAATAACATTTTGGATTTTTTCTAGTTTCAGCAGACAATACATTCGCTATATGGGCATTCACCAGCCACCGATAACATTTGTCTGGTTCCACTTTCCCTTTTATAGGTTTGAAATGGAAAGTAATACATTGAATATCGGCAACTAATGCTTTTCCCCAGTGTCAAATTGTCCAAAAGTCATTGCTGTGATGTATTTGACGACCGAAAATTCACATAAATAAATAAAACTTTTACAATAGAGCATTACATTCATGCAAATATCAGATTTTTTAGACATGGTCTGTCGGCAGGTTTAAGAGTTTAGTTAAGAATTACTGTTATCTAGATTTGATAAAAGCAGTAATAGTAGTAGTAGTAGTAGTTGTGGTAATAGTAGTAGCTGTATTTGAAGTGGCAGCCGTAGTAGTAGTAGCAGCTGTAGTAGTAGCTTTGACCTCTAAATATGACCTAATGATGGCGTTTGTCTTAATTCAAAGGACGACAGTAGGGGCGACAGTAGCTCAGTTGGTAGAGCATTGGCCTTTGAGCCTGAAGGTCGTGGGTTCGAGCCCACCGTAAGACCTACTTCACGACTCCCACTGATGACTGCTGTCGTTGTGTCCATGGGCAAGACACTTAACCCCACTTTGCCTGAAGCTCCCACTGAAAGATCTCAGCTTCTGTGGACTCACCACCTACAGGAGGATCAGTGAGGGGCTGGTGCTCTGTGTGCTGGGTGGCATCTCTGGCCACCCCCCCGACCCAGAAATGGATTAAGGGGAAGAAAATGGATGGATGGATGGAAATCAACAAACTGCTGTACTGGGACACTCCTACAGTACTTGCTTCAGTGACTTAAAGTACTCTCACTATTATCAGTTACATTAGTTTGTTATGCCAAATGTTCTGAAGCAATTTAGTGTCTATCAAAACGAGCTCTCATAACCGCCCCGGTCTGTGTACGCGGTGTGTGGGTGAGTATTTGGCCTCAAAACACTTCAGTTTTCTTCCCTCACTCATTTTCATAACTTTACAAATATGCAAATCAAATCTAGTGAGAAATGCATTTACATAAAGAAGCAGCTCTGGTTTATCACCGGCAGAAATTACATCTCTCAGTTTCAAGGTATTCTCCAGTGAACTCAAAAAGAAGTCACTAACGCCATTGCAGATAAAGTAAAATAATACTGCGGTATACAGAGCCAAGAAAAGTATCCCCCCCTTACTGATTTTTAAGATGTATAGAAAAGTCAGAAAACAAACAAGTAGAAAGATATTTTAAATAAATACATATTAGTTTTTATCAGAGTTGAGGTAATTATAAGTCTCTATAAGGACCAAGCCTCAAATACATTCTATTGAATCTATATCCGTCATAGAAGAGCCTAACATTAGCTAATATATAATTAAGTTTAAATTCAACTAAAAATCAACCACTATCTGCTCCTTATTTGTTGATTTTGAGAAGTCATGGAGGGGAAAGCTCTTATATTCCTTACATCCTCTCCTATTCTATACGCAGTCTGTATATAGACAGACAATGCTAACTAGCTCAAAGAAGCCCAATTGGGAGGTACTCATGAACAAGGTTTTACTCTGGCTCCTATTGATTTACATTGAAAAGTTAACTCCTCAAGCTCAGTAACTGTTTGTGTGACACTCAACGTTTTGAGATGATAAATTGGTGGGTTAGCGCTCTCTGTGATCCTGGGGTTTTGATTTGATATCCTCTTTGTAGATCCAGATATGAGCCATAAGGATTAACCAATCAGATGGGTTTATTCACAGGGGAAAACTCCAGCTTGCCTTAGCAACCTCGTTAGCAACAAGTCTGAACAAATGTCCATAAGGAAATTGGCTATTTAGCTTGTGTTCAATTTAGCCTCTTTCGCATTAAGGCTAACGCTGTGGTGACGTCAGCACTCCCTCAATACATATAGTCTATGGTCAGTACCACGGATGACCAGCAGATGGCGGACCTTTCTACCGTTTAACGCTATTCCCGCGATTCTCGAGGCGTAAAACTCTCCTTAGGTTTCTCTTCTCAGCCTTCTAGTCTGGACTCAACTTCTACGACTCCCACATGCAGATTTACCACACCTTGTAAACTTCACTGCATACAGAGTCTATGGTAGATACCCCCTCCTGAGCTGAAAAGCATTATGGGATTTGCACAAGTGGTGAATTGGAGTGTGTTTGAAAGCAGCAGGATGAAGCTGGGTGATGATGGCTGGTGGGTGGGAGCTCTGTCTCGAGTTATTAAATGCCTTCTGGCTTTTTCAAGAGTGGAGAGAGAAGCTGTGTTTTTGACTAGAGAGAATAAGAAGGTCGAGGCTCCTGCTCCCAAACCTCAGTCAATGTTTAATAACTCCATGTATTATTACCGTAGTTTCTTCTTTTGAGAGATTTCTATTTCATCTTGTTTTGAGTGCTTACTCTGAGGGTGTCCGTACATACAGAACTTACAAACTTCTATTACTTTGCTTAGGCTGGCTTTAATCATGACAATATTACGTTAAGTTACAGAACAGTAGGGATGAGGAGCCCACAACACTAGTGAATATCATAACACAACTCTAAATTAATAAAATCTTTAGCTTAGTAAAATAATCTACAGAATAATCTTGCCTGCTTTGTGAATGTCTAGACTGTAAAATGGGCCTCCAATGCATTATATTTTTTTAACGCCAGATACAACATTGTTCCTCATCAATAGCAGACCTGGAGTTGTTTTTAGCTTCATTCATGCTAATATCTGGGACTTCTGACACAAATGTAACTCCGCCCCTTCTGTCTAAACGCTCCAGTCTCAGTCCTGTGATAGTATGTCATTGTATCTCTGACATCACACAACAATTCTCAAGTGAAAGTGTTTTTCACTTGAGAGTCTCAAAATCGACTCCTCCCTCTGGTGGTAGCATAGGGAGTATCGGGAGCGGAAAGATTTTTTTTATTTCACATTGTAGATCATGCATCACGCATATTATCGCTTTTGTCCTCAGTGTGTGGAGAAAATGGAACACTATCTGAACTCTGAATAAATGTAAAGCGCTTTGAGTGACCTTGGTCTGTAAAATGCGCTATATAAATAAACGTTACTACTATTTCTACTTTGTCGTTTCTACAGGTTCATGACTTTAGCTCCTGGAGACGTGTTCCTGACTGGGACGCCTCCTGGAGTTGGAGTTTTCAGATCACCGCCGGTTTTCCTCAAGGTTTGTGGTGATTTCAGACTTTTTATTTGCAACATGTGATTTAAACTGTGCCAGAGTTTTCTAAATTGTGTTTTTGTTGTTTCAGGAAGGAGACATTGTGGAGTGTCAAATAGATCAGATCGGCTCAATAATAAATAAAGTCGTCTGATCACTGAGATTACACGACAGCCAAGATCTATGGAGTGGATCAACAGATGACGAATGCTGCCACTGAAACAAAGTCCTGTGAAAAATGTACAATTCCAAAAGCCACGTGGAAATGTATTTTGACAAATGACAAGGAGAAATGATAAAATCCTTTGGGGAGTTGCTTGGAAGCGGGTGGCGAGCTCAGGATGAAGACACCTGCTCCAGTGGATCAAACTTAAGGATTGGATTTTATTTTGCTCGGAAGATGTTGATACATTTTTTTTTGCTGATGAACCATATTCATTCGAGTTTGCCCAGGCACCCCTGATTTAAGCCTAAAAAGCAAAGTTACTCTTTTTCTTCCTGAATGATCTGTTCCACAACAAATATTTCACAATAACTTCATCGATGGTTTTCAATTATGTAAAAAAAAGAAAACACTGAATAGTAAAGGAAAATAATCTGTTACAATGTGTAAATAATGTTATATTTTCTGTCTGATGGGAAATTTCAGAAGCACAGTTTTGTGAAATGAGAGAAGTCATCACAATAAAACATGATTTTGGATCTTCTAGTGAATGTCAGTTTCTAAGTGTTCATGAGGAGCTGGTGACGAGAGAGAACACACCCAATCATCAGTGTGATAAAACAAAAACACTTCCCTCTCTCTTTTTCATCCAATCACAGTGTGTCTGATCAGTCATAGTGACGCAAACTCGAGAACTCTGAGTTTCAGAGGTGAATTTCTGAGTTGAGTACGTTCATGCCCAGTTCCCAGTCGGACCTCTCAGTTTTCAACGTTTTAAATATGAAAATAAAAAGAATATTGAAATATACTTACTGTACTGATATGCAGTGTCCCGTGGTCAGAAATACACATTGTTTTAAGATTTTAATTCACTTGAAATAGCCTCGGGTAGGATTAGAAGAAAAATTGCAAAAATTAGGGTCTAAAAGGGTCTGAATGAGCCATGGCTGGACACGTCAGGAAAAATCTTGAAAATTGTGTGTGCGTGTGTGTGTTGTCTAGTCTCTGGTCATGTCATATATTGTTTCACTCTATGTACTGTACAAGTTTACAGCTGTTCATGAATGATCCTGTATGTATACTGTACTAAGTGTTGAATGTGTTACGGGGTTTGGAATCCTATATTTGCTTCATCCACCTCCTTTTCAATATCTGTCTGTTATGGTGATAATTGCAATGATGATTGTGCCGGTGTGAAATAAATATTATCTATCTATTTCATTGCTTCTGTGAATGTCCAATCAAGAAAAAACATAGTAAGTCCCACCTCTCTTGACCAGCAGGTGGCAGTAAAGCTTCACTTGTAAATAGTGGTGAATTTTACTCGTGGTCCAGTGTTGGCTTAAGAAGGAGGACATCTGTCAGTCCATTCATCTCAGAAACGATGACTCAGGAGCTGGTTTCAACCAAGTTTAATTACATAACGGAACAGATGCAGGACTGTACAATGTAGTCATAAAAAAGAAACAAAACCCTGCACTTAAAGAAGACATAACATGCTTCTGCCGGCTTAAAACTGGAAACTATGAGTCTCTAGGCTTTTTCATGAATGTGTGAAAATGATAGAAATCTTAATGTTGACTCGTAAACACATAATAAACAAAAAAGTCCACCCACATTCAAAGTCAGTATATTATTGCGGTGTCAGTGGATGTGTGGTGGCATCAATAGCCCAGATCGCAGGTTAAGCTAGCAATCAGTGGTTTTCTTGTAATTTAAGGCGGTTCAATGCAGCCAGATCATTCACATTCAGAAAAGAAAATCGTAAAGTAAAAGCAGTAGGCGTGTCGCTGTGAGGGGAGAAATGCCAACTTGAGAAATAGCACAAACATGAAAGGAGCGCTCTGTAAGCAACTTTTGAGTAGATGAATGATAGAGGAAAACCGAAACTTTAAACAGGTGATGTTATGTCTCCTTTGAAGTCACTGTTTTCTGATAAACTTGTCAAAACTGTATCAAAACTAAAACAGTCCTCATTATAAACGTAAACAGCATCTCTCCGATAGACCGTCATCCGTCTGATTACACACATTCCCAATCTTTGCCTCCTGTGGATTTATGCTAATGCTAACGAGTAAACAAACCTAAAAATCAACGATGCGTCACAGAGAGTCGGATCACGTAAAAAAAAAAAAGGCATTTTTCCCGACTCAGCAGCTTCAGACCGGAGAGCGAGCGGTTTCCCCACAACACAAAACGCAACGGAACAAGACGAGAGCAGTCAGGGCCGCAGGACAGTCACTCCGTTAGCTAGAATACTCAATATCAATATATTTTTGGACCGTTTTTTTTGTTCAATGAATGTTGTTGTTGATTTGGCTTGGGACAGTGCAATTCCTACCTCTCAGTTTTATATTTTGGCTTTTCAATGTTACTTCCTGATTGTAAAACGATGACGTCACACTAGGGATTCCATGCTGTGAACTGGGGAAAGACGCCCTTTGGACCAATGGCTTCTATGTGTTACTATTTATTATTGTTTTTCTTGGGGTTAAACTATTCTTCTCTGATTTTTTGTTGGTGAATCGACAACCTTGAAAAGTCCTCCAAGACGACTGCTGTTGGGATTTAGGGCTATACTAAAAGACATTAAAATGAATTGAATATGGTTATAAAAGAATACAGAAAAATATGACTAAACAATTACTTTTATCAGTAATTAAAAAGTTTTAAAAATGTTTGCGAAAAATCTATGCCTATGTCTAAAGATAAGGTCTATGTTTTTGGGTGAGTTAAGTCCACTTCTGAAGTACGTCTTTCCTCATGTGTCTGTTTTTCAGTGACGTCCAAGCATTAAACAAGTCTTAAAACTGTCTGTCGGGAATCTGCCTTTTCACTAAGTCTGGAGCCATCTCGTCTCAAATCAGGTCCATTTTTAAAGACAGGAAGATTTATAGGTCTTTTTCAGGAATTTGGATGCAGATAAAAACGTGTTTCCAAGTTTTTGTCCTGCTTCCTCTTGTCTTTGATGTGGTCATTTATTTTTATGGAAGTGGAGAAATAGTGGAATTGAAGAAAGGAAAGAAAAGGTCTTTGGCCGTTTTGTCTCCTGTAGTGTCATAAATGCTATCCTTTGAAATTTGGTTTTGAAACTAGACTTGATATTCGATACCTCGTAACTACTTTAAAAGGCTTTCATTTTCCTTGTATTGTGTTAATTTAGTTGTTGATTTTAGTACATTTTGTAGTGTCCTAAAAGAGATGTATCACTTGGAATGAGATCAAAATGAACTGTTAAGGTTCTGAGATCAAAATTCCTACTATCCTTGGAATCCAATCTTTTTCTTCTGTATTTTTGTGCTTGAGTTATGGGTAAATCTGGTTTTAAGACTGAAAAAAATCAAGACAAAATTTACCAATGTCAAATACTTTCGACATTTCTCTGAATCAAGACAAAAACTACTTGATTACTGCCTTTTATTCTAACGGTTTCTGCAGTGTATGGAAACTTATTGCCTAGAAAAACTAGGATTAGTGTCATAAAGTACATTTATGATACTAATAATAACAATGGATAGAAGTGGTGCTCCAAAATGTTATACTAGTTCCAACCCCAGCCTGTTACCTTTACCCTCTTTTCAACTTTGTACACTGCAAAAAGTGCTGAAAAATAAGTCAAAAATTGCTAAAATTTGGCTAAATGTCTTAATTTGAGCACATTTTGACTGCCTTAAAACTAGATTTGCCAAAGGGACAAAGCAAAATGATCTTGTTTCAAAAAGACTCCGTAAGAATGACAAAATAAATGCTTGTTTTAAGACATAAGTGTTGTTTTAAGTCAAAATGTGCTCAAATTAAGATAAAAACCACTCTATTCAAGCAATTTTTACCTCATATTTTGACATTTTTGCAGTGTAGTGAATGTCTGTGTAGCAGGTTTAAAATAATCAAAAAACAATCTTCTGCTAGTGATAAAAACGCCCATTTTTTCTCTGTATGCAGAATACTTTGAGCTTTGATTTAATATTAGCTTTTAGCATACACCAAATCCCGACGTGATCTCTTCCATAGTTACGGAGGATTAAACAAATCCTCTTGACAACCACTATTTCTCTATTAGCCGAGCACACAGACTGGAGCTCAAAGCAGGATTCATATCAAATTAAGGAACAAATCCAACTGGTTTCAAGCTTGCATGGTTTTTAATTAACTTGATAAAGGTGTAAGTAGTCATTAGTGGTTGTTAGGGATGCTTGATTTTCCGTCCAAAACTACCAAAACGATCATGTGGTAAATATTGGTAACTAGTGCAGTCGTCTCCAACCCGTGGCTCCCAAAGGATTTAGATTCTACATAACAATTCTGAATATTAAAACATGCATGTATGAATTAATGTAAAAAAGTTTTGTAAATTAAAACTATAAAAGTAAGAGATTTTAAATTTAGATTTTAATTTAATCAAAAGTAGCTGATCTGAAAACGTATTTGGCCTCTATTGAAAAAAAATAATTAAAAAAAATTAATAAAACTAATATTAGTTGATTAGCAGATCCCTGTATGTAATGTACGTTTAATTTTTAATTTTATTTTATTTTGTCAATATTGATATGTTCATATGTGCATTTTGTGTCTTTACGCTGCTGAGGAATGTTTTTTCTTTTCTTTAAATTGTTGATACAATACCCCATCCAAGGCTTGCTCTCACCCTTTAGTAGACTAGTTAATTTTATATTCCCGGACGTTAAAAGGTCTCTGTCTTAATCTAGTCCTGAGAAAGTAGCTCTACAGGTGAAAAAGGCTAGAGACCATTGCTCTAGTGTGACGTCATCAGAGAACTTCCCTGCTTGTTCCGTTATGTTTTGCTCTCAGGGAAAGTATGGATACATATTTAAGTCATGTATGTATGAAAGTATGTAAAAAAATGCCCACAACTTTTGTAAATTAAAAGAGAAAATGTAAAAGAACCCTTGCTCTAGTCATCAGAAAACCTCCCAGGCTTTCTCTCTCTGTTATTATCACACATATATACATTTCTTTTACAACACAAACTGGTCTCAGGTCAACACTAAACCCCCGCATACATCCCCGAATGCGCATGAGAGTGAAATCTTGTGTCCACCGCTGTCATGCGCTCCTCAAGGCTCTGAGTCACGCGGGCGGCTTGTGCTAAATTTTATAATTGCAGAGGTACTGGGAGAAGAAGCGGTGCAGTTTTTGTCTGTTTTGTGAAGACCGGAACAAAGGGTTGAGTGACAGGAGAACGCCTCCCGTGTCCCGCGTCTCCACAACGACCTAACGTGAATATGAACACAGCATCACACGAGCGCTCACAAAGCCTCCGCTGACAACAGAGATCCTGGCGCGGGGGGAAAACGTACGCCCAGGCTGCGGCTTTATCACTGGTTTTAGCGGCAACGTGTTGATAAAACAGTATGAAATGAGACTCATCGTGTCCTTTAAATAGGCGTTTTGAAAAGTACGATGCAACTGCCCGGCATGAGGAATCTGCTTTTTGTCAGGATCATTCTGTTGTCTGCCATATTTTCCATCTATTACAGTTTTATTAGCACTAATATTAAAGCTAATAAACCCTAATGTTTTGGTTTAATAAATAATGCATGTGTTTTGTCCCAACAGAAAGAGTAAAACATGTCATATTTTGTAAACTCGATGTTTTGGGCTTTGAGCTGAGAGCTGAATGGCTGAGTGAGGGTGGTCTCTTTTTTAAGATGAAGAGATCCTTTATTCGTCCCACGGTGGGGAAATTTCAGTTTTGCATCACCAGTTACAACACAGTAGAAATGAGGAGCACACAGCACAAGATACATGAATAACAACTCTAAACAAAAATAGAATAAAATCTCTAGCATGAAAAGAAGCAGTATAAAATCTCTATCTTTAGCATAATATGGAAAGAAGTCTTAAAATGTCCAACTTAAGCATGAAGAAGAAGCAAGACTTAAGTACAAAATACCCTGACTTTAGCATAATAAGGAGCAAGTAGAAAAAATACTGCATATTTTAGTGCTGTATATTCACATTTCTGTCTGAAAAAGTGGATCAAAAAAGTTATATTGTTGTGTTTTTTTAGCAGTGCATTTCTTGTGTTTGAACTGTCTGATTCTCTGATCTGTTGTTGGCGATTCAACAGTTTTGTAAAGTCCCCCGAAATATCTGCTGTTGTGATTTAGGGCTATACAAAAATGAAATAGAATTGGTTTAAAAGTTAGGTACCCCAGCTTTAACCGAAAACTCCAATCCGGGTATCACCTTATCTGAGATCACAGAACTACATAACTAGTATTTTTATTTATTTTTTGCTGAATTTCTCCTAGGGGGATCAATAAAGTATCTATCGGTCTATCTGCTGATCCGCCTGATCCACCAGATTTCCAAATACCTTTTACGAGCGTCACATTGGAGCATCCGTATAGAGAATATTGCCAAACACAAACTCAATCTAATTCATTACACATATTAAATTGAGCTGGTTAATTTCCTATAATTGTGAGATAAAGGATTAGTGTTAAATCTGCAGTGACTAAAGTACATTCCTGCAGCTGTCGCCTCATTCGAACTTTCAGGGAAAGTTGCGTCTAAGCTGTTCTTCAAAAATGCGAAATGCTGACGTTTCCAGATAAGACTTTGAGCCATCTGCAAGTCCTGTCCGGATCGGCCAACAGATTTGAAATGCCACTGCCCCTAGTTTTGCTGCTTTAGAAATGATACAGCTGTCAGTGACTCTACAAATGTGTCTTGGAAAAGCACGAACTTGTGTCAAAACATTGGTTCTATAAATGTATATTAAACGAATGCATAGTTTCAATTCCTAATCAGGCATGTTGTGAATAATAACTGATATTCTCCATCTGTTCTGTCCTTGCTCCCTGGGGCTTCTGACTGGCTTCCCTCCATACAGACCTCTGAAGCCAAGCAGGGCATGGCCTGGTTAGTACTGTGATGGGAGACCTCTGGGAACACCAGGTGCTACAGTGGGGCGGCTGGCAAACTGTCATTGTGTCCTTAGGCAAGTCACTTCACCCCCATTGCCTAGAATGAGTCTGTGTGTGTGAATGGTGGGTGGTGGTCGGAGGAGCTGATGGCACATACTGGTTGTCTCGTTTCTGTCAGTGTGCCCCAGGGCAGCTGTGGCTACATAAATATGAACTACCACTGTGTATGTAGTGAAAGAATAATGAAATGTGAAGTGCCTTTGAGTGTCCAAAAAAAAAATCTATGCATTATTATTATTATTATCAGCATTATTATCTAATCTACTGGTGACAAATTCTGGTGCAACTTTGCCGGCATCTTTACAATTGGACTATTGTCGTTTTACCCCATTCGCTTTAACATGAATATAGTATATCAACTTTGCGAACCTTTTAAAACTTTACAAAAGGTTTCGAGAGCGCGCCGCCAGATCGCAGTTAACAGAGGAGGTGAAAAAGACCTTGTGTGGGCAGAGAAACTTAATGGATGGACAAAAACAGAGCGTTCCGGGGCACTCTGGTTCGAAACACGTTGGCGTTGATGAAATGATTAAATTAGTCCGTCTCAAAGTCCTGCCCTATAAGACTTTGGTTGAAACACAATCTCATATGTGATTGCTAAACACACACACAAGATTAGAGTGTCTTTGTATTGCTCTCTATAAAGTCTTGTATAAACTATGAAGTACAAACAACAGCTGACTTGTGTATTTATACTGTGATTCTTTTTAATTTAAGGTGATTATTTATGATGATTATTTAAAGGGCCTATATCACGGTTTTTAACTTTTCTCTGCTTTAATCATGATTACAGTGATATTTAGCCTTCATACACAAGCCCACAGTAGTTTATTCATTGATTCTGTCAATCTTTAGTAAGAGAGCGATCTGTCTCCTTCCCCAGCGAGAGGCACAGAAACGCTCGGGTCCACTTCAGTGACGAAAACCACTTTGATGACGCGTATAACCCCGTTTGCTTTGTATTTAAAATACTTTTTAAAATACTTTTGTCAAAACGGGGTAAACAATACACAATTAGTATGCTGTTTTTTTGTCAAAGATAATAAAAATAAAAATAAATTAAAAGCCGGCGGGAGGTGATTGACGGATCAAAACAGCGAATCAGAGCGCGCAGCCAGTTCCCGAGTCCGGCTCCCGAGTCCAGCGTCTGTGGCTTGGTCTTGCGGACACCACATAGAGCTGCTGTTATTCTGCTTTTGTCAGCAACTAAAAGTGTTAGGATCACGTCAACTTGAATGGAATGTGTTTTGGGTGTAAATATGTGACGCACTATTTGGCCCGAAGAGGAAGAAAGCGGCTCGACTTTTTTCATCTGTTCATCTCATGGATCTATTATAATACCGGTTCATCTGCGACACTTCACTGAGGACAATGGAACTGGACTTACTCAAAAGCTGATCTGGAAACACGTTATTCCCACGGTAAAAGACGTAACTCGGACCCCCCCGATCTGTGAGTAAAGTGACGCTAACTCGCTGTATACTTCTGTAAACTAAATAATTAGGGTCTGATTGTGCATCGAGGACATAGGGCTCCCAAGTTTTGAGTGTTGTGTTGTGTATCATACACATTATTATCACACATGTGCAAAGGATTGAGTGTGAAACATGAAGAATAGTGTGATATAGGACCTTTAACTCCTTGTTGTGGGTCTATCTTGTTTCATTCAGCACTTTGAGTTGCCTTGTGTATGATTTGTGCTATACAAATAAACTTTTCCTATTTAGATTTTTTTTTAGTGGTCTTGTAATTTGAACAGACAATCCAACAATAAGATAATTTCCACAGTGCACTTTCAAAACTTTAACTATGGATGAAAAAAGCCAGGTCTGTGAATGCTCGTGATGGGATCTCTGTAAATTTCACATCTCAGTCAGTATTACTAACAATTATAAGGAATTGGGGTTATATAGTGCTTTTTTCGGTCACTCATAGACACTTCACATTAATTCACTCCATACACAGTGGTGATAAACTACAACTGTAGCCACAGCTGCCCTGGGGCACACTGACAGAAGCGAGGCAACCAGTACGTGCCATCGACCCCTCTGACCATCACCAACCATTCACACACATGCCAGACTCATTCTCTGCAATGTGGCTGAAGTGTATTGCCTTAGGACACAACAACAGTTTGGCACATTACATCCGCCCCACTGTGGCACCTGTTGTTCCCAGAGGTCTCCCATCACACTACTAACCAGGCCCTTCCCTGCTTCGCTTCAGAGGCCTGACAGATCTGGCTTTCCAAGTGTCAGATAGGAACTCCCAAGTCTCTTTCTGTTGATACAAAGAGTACATTATTGTAGGTGGACGAGTTAGGTAACCCAGCTTTAATAATCACTGTCAAATACACTAAATACAAAGTCTGTTTAAAGGACAAACTGGGATAGACTGTGGAAAAATATTTATTATAAGAGAGACCCATCCTCACTCAGCCAATCAGCTCTCAACCCAAAGAGTCAAACAGTGACTCCCATGTCTCTAACAAGTAGTGGAGTTTGCATGTTCTCCTCGTGTCTGTGTTTGTTTCCTCCGGGTGCTCCGGTTTCCCCTGCCTCTAAAAACATGTATAATAGGTCTGGCATGCACCTCCTGTCTCCCATCTCTGTGTGGAGTGAGACAAATGCCCACAAAAACTATGTGACTCTGGTCTGTGAAAGGCGCTATATACAATTATTTAGTTCCAAAAATGCAAACCGGTTTTCTAATAAGATGAAAACGGCATGTCTTGGTCTGATTTGTTTAAAACATTTTAAGTTTAAAGTCTCTTTCTGTTGAAACAAACAATATATTATTTCTCGAGGGGACAAGTTAGGTACCCCAGCTTTAAAAATCTCTCTAAAAATAAAATAAATACAAAGTTTATTTAAAGGAAAAACTGGGATGGACTGTGGAAAAATATAAATTATAACTAACTCAATCTTTGCGATTTATGTGGAAAGTTTTGGATTTCACAAAGGGACTGATCTATTGCAAAAAATGATAAAAAATATATAAAAGCTATATATGTGTTTAAAAAAAAAAATAATCTTTGAGTACATTTTGACTGCCTTAAAACAAGAAGTGCCAATGGAAGAAGCCGTTTAGTCTTATTTCAAGTGCTGTTGCAAATTATTTCTCATTCCAAAGACAACATTTCTTGTATTTTCTTTTTTAAACAAGATATTTTTGATTGTTCCATTGGCAACTATTGATAAAATGCACTCAAATTAAGACAAAAAAACCTTTGAGGACAGGGTGGCAGCTCTGATTGCAACTCCCCTGACCCAGAAACGGACTAACAAAGGGGAAGGAAATGGCGAGACATTTAATTCAAGCATTTTTTTCACTTATATTTTTTGATCATTTTTAAATTTCATATTTTACCATTTTTTCACCTTGTATTTAATTATTTTTTTAATCTTATATTTTATTATTTTTTTCCCTTATATTTTATTATTCTTTTGCAGTGAGTACTGAAGCAAACTACACTAACGTAAAGAATAAGCCAAGATCCTGAACCGTGGGCTGGAGTTTGGGGTGAGCCGTGATTCTGAATGGGCAGATTTGTGGAAACGGGGGCAGAGCGGGTTGTCAACTCACCCCCAGGTCGATGAGTGTTCGCAGGGCCGTGTGCACCGCCTCCTCGGAGCAGCTCTCTGAAGAAAAAGCATCACAAGATCAGCAATTCAACAAACCAACGGCATTTCTGGGAAAACTAATGTTGGGCTGACATTTCAATAAAACTATTACACAAAGGATAATGGATGTGGATGCTCTGAAAACTTTATTTGGTGATTCAATTAACTTTAGCACAGTTTCTGCCCAGTGGAGAAGGATTTGGACTTTTCCTGCTCACCGTAATGGGCTTTCTTCTTTCTCGCCATGTCGCACAGTTGAGCGTGGATCTGAGTCTTGAAGTCGGTCTCTGCGGAGCGAAACAACACAAGTGTGTGATTAATTACCGGCGAAGACGCAACGCTGCTTTTACATTGTGGAGTTCATGTCGAGTTGTTGTGTTACAGTTTTTTCCTGTACTATAGACACACGCTTAGACCAAAGTTACAGAACCTGAAGCTTTTGTACTGAACCTAAAACACAGACTGACCATTCCTTAAACAAAAGTACTGCTTTGCACTTTGCTTTCATTTCTAAAACACACTTTCTTCTTTTGCAACACACTTACTCTTTCTGCAACACACTTTCTCCTCCTCACAACACACTGTGTCATACATAAGACACATTTTTCATAAATGCAATCCTATGTTATTGTTGGGAAAACACATCTATTCAAAATACCAAACAAATTGTGTGCCAGACCCACTGAGACACACATTTGAAAACACTGACTCACAAAACGCGACACACAGACAGTCATAAACAGGCCTTAGTTTATCCATTTTCAGAACTTTTTAAGTATGAAGGCAGGAAGAGCAAGAGGAAGACAAGGAGAGAAGAGGAGGACGTGGTTGAAGATATTTCTGACATTAGAGCAACTTTGGAGGATCATGTGTAAACCATGGCCTCACACTGAAGCAGAGTCACAGCTTCATCATCAGGACCTTCAGATGGAAACATGTCTCTAACTCTGTACTGCAGACTGTATCTATAGTATGTACAGTATGTACAGTACTGTATCACATGTACTGTATAGCAAGTTGGCTATTGCTCCTTTTGAAACATACAATACATACAATACAGTAAAGTACATAGTACAGAACCATTGAGATGTTACAGTTCTGTGTACAGTATAAACTACTAAAAAAAAGAACTAAACCTATTCTAACAGTTTGTGGTTTCCTATTTCTACAGAATGACTAGAACCTTCTCAAAGTGCTCCACAGCTGTTCACCAACAGCAGGAACATGATCCATAATCCCACTCACGTATAATTGCCTAGTTTTACATTAGAGATTTTTATTTATGCGTTACTGCATTGACACAAATGCAGTACAGTATACTGTAGTACTGTGATGTACACTATACTCTAGTACTGTGATGTACACTATACTGTAGTACTGTAATGTACACTATACTGTAGTACTGTAATGTACACTATACTGTAGTACTGTAATGTACACTATACTGTAGTACTGTAATGTGCACTATACTGTAGTACTGTGATGTAAAGTATATAGTACTGTGATGTACACTATACTGTAGTACTGTGATGTAAAGTATACTGTAGTACTGTGATGTACACTATACTGTAGTACTGTGATGTACACTATACTGTAGTACTGTGATGTACACTATACTGTAGTACTGTAATGTAAAGTATACTCTAGTACTGTGATGTACACTATACTGTAGTACTGTGATGTACACTATACTGTAGTACTGTGATGTAAAGTATACTCTAGTACTGTGATGTACACTATACTGTAGTACTGTGATGTACACTATACTGTAGTACTGTGATGTACACTATACTGTAGTACTGTGATGTACACTATACTGTAGTACTGTAATGTAAAGTATACTGTAGTACTGTGATGTAAAGTATTGAGTTGATATTATTTGTAACCTTTTAGAACTACTGAGAACAAAAACAGCTCCATTGAGCATCACTGAAAACTAACTGATAAACGGAATAAAAACAGTGAAAATGACTGCTGTGTTTTATATAAAGTACTGTAGTGTTTTATATAAAGTACTGTAGTGTTTTATATAAAGTACTGTGGTGTGTTGCTTCCAATCTGAAAGTGTGTTCACATGATGAAGTGTGTGTCATTTTGTCCACAGAGTTTACTTTTGACAAATGCTTGTTTAGTTTTGAGAGCAGAGTTTGAGTTTTGATAAAGGAGTTTCATTTTGACACAGATGTGTTTGGTTTATGTCCCAGTGTTGTGTCAGGTCATCGTGTGTAGAGTTTTGGGACTAAATGTGTTCATTATTAATTTAGTTAATGATTTAAATTCAATGCAGCCCTAAATCACAACTGCGGTTGTCTCAGGGGATTTAAAGTTGTCGATTCACTAACAACAGAGTAACAGTTTGAATACAGGAAATTATATAAGATAAGAGATTCTTTATTCATCTCACAGTGGGGAAATTTCAATGTTGCAGCGCACATACAGTACAGTAGTAAGAGCACACAGAGCCCGCACAAAACAAGTAGCATCTATGTTTATTAGCTAGCTGTAAAAAGCTGTCAAAATATCTATACATCTAGAGCAAATAAACATATAGGGCAGGGTAATAAGTAGATGAAGTGGCATTCAGTGAAAATGCAATAATAACAAACACATTGTAGTCATTGGTCTATAGGGAGCAGGATGACCACAGTCCATAAATGTGAATTAATGTCCATAAATTTCATTAAATCACCTTAATGATCAACACAATTTTAAAGTACTGTGGAGAAATTAACCTCACAGAGACGGGATCTTTACGCACCAGAGCCACCTGGAAGTCAAATCTCAGTTTCTTTCAGACTGAACAAAGTCAAGACATGGTTTTAATAGTCATTCGTTACGTCACACATAGGAAGGCATAAGTGTCACATCAAGAGACAATCAGAACATGTTAGAGTCATAACATGGATACACAATCTGACTCCTTGTGACTGTAAGGGCCAGATATTACATGTATATTTTGTCTTGCGTTGGTCCACCTGCATGGGCCATAGCTTTCTCATTCCCATAGCACTATAATTTAAATATTAGGGATATGGGCTTGTTCACACTAAAGGGCACACAAGTGTGACAAAAGGCCAAAAATTAGATTTTAATAATCAGAAGATATTTTATGTTTTTCATGTTTCCAAGCACCTCCTCTGTCCATTAGAAGTTTCTAGAACATAACTGTTTTATACATTAGACAAGTTTCCTATAGCTGCCCTGTTTATTTTATCTAACGGATGTGATGATTTGACGGAATGAGCTTTGTGCAAGTTTGATAGGTATTTTCAGATGTCCACATTTGATTCAGAGATTCTACTTTTTTACACTTTTTAAGTAGATGCAAAGTGATACTTTCATATTGTCAAGCAAATAAATGTGAAAACAGACCAGATTTTTTTTTCTCTCAAGTTTAATTTTTAGAGAAAAGAGGACCGTCCTCATCACGTCCGTTATACATTTTTCAGGGGTCATTTAATTAATTAATTATTTTTTATTTTTTAACGATTCCTTTTTATATCAAGTGATTTCCTCCTGTTGTGGTAACCATGTAAATCTTGTGGGATTTCATCTTCTGCTTTTTCAGACTGAGGACATTTTATTTTCTATTTAACTGGCGTCACAGTGGAATGGTCCAATCAGAGGCTCATTTGGTTGTTTAAAATGTTGCTAAACATTTTTATGTCAATCTTTCCTTTTGATTTTTTCCACACTATCTCTTCAATGTGTCTGTGTTTGAAATCTTTTTTCCAATCTATGAAAGTAATTAGTTTTTAAGTTATAACCTTTTAAAGTCCAGATACTTCAATTGTCACTTTACTGTGAACACACTCATATAGGTAATCCCTCTGGTCTCCCATTGTCTGTATGTATGTATACGTATTTAATAGTATAATGCATTGGTTACAAGTTCTGTCCAAAGTCCTGTGAGACCCAGTTCTAGTGTTTTAACCATATGCTTTTTTGAACCCAGGACACGCATTATTGTGCATTTCCTGTTTTCTCGTTATCTCAGAGGGGTTTCTGCTAGTGGCCAGCGGATGTGAACAATAACCCAATGAAAACATCGCTCTGGGGGATTACTCCTCTCCACTTTTCATTTAACTGATCGATATTTATTTTCACAACCTTTCACACAGTGTGATCTCCCGGCAAGAAACAGAAAAGTGATATGTTTGGACTTCTGAGGTCAGTTTGACACAATGTTCAAATAGATGTGAATGTAAACTATAGACCAAGAGGGAAAGGAGAGGATGCAAACAGCTGTGTGTATGTTGTGACACTTGATTGTGATTTTAAGTTCTTGTTTAAAAAGTCTAATTTAACTTCAAGTGACTTTCATATGAAGCGATTACCCGAGTAAGTAAGTAATTTTTATTCATATAACGCTTTTCACAGACCAGAGTCACAAAGCACTTTACAATTGCTGTGGACATTTGTGTTCTCACTCTTTCCAGACCTATTTCACATGTTTTTGGTGGTAGGGGAAACCGCAGCACTCGGAGGAAACCCACGCAGACATGGGGTAAACATGCAAACTTCACACAGAAAGGTCTGGAGGTGGAATCGAACCCAGGACCTTCTTACAAGCGCAAACCAATGATCCACAGTGCCGTTGTTCCTCACTCACAAATTCCCACACATTTAAAAAGATGTTTAAAGAATTCTAACCCATCTCGTGTGATTCGCTGCAAAAATGATAACTGTATTTAAACCTTGACCAGTGTGGATACCAATGCAAACGACTGATGATTATCACCTCATGGTAAATTACAGGTTCCATATCCTGCTAACTGAGGTGTCACCATAGCGACACACAGCTATAAGCACAAACAGTTGCTTACCGTTTTCATTTACTGAATTTATCTTTAAATGTCTGTTATAAAAGCACAAGGTTGAAGTAAGTTGGAAACATGGACAACATTTGTTGTGTCAAATTCAAGAGTAAAATGTCAGAAAACGTTTATTTTTTGTCGGGGGGTGTCTTAGTTTTGGTCATGGCAACAGTTGCTAAGGAGCTGTTGCTGGCTCTAGGCTCAGTCGTCCCTTTCCTCAAACATGTTTTTAAGAGAGTAAAGGACAGAATATATATTTTCTTTTGAGCAGGTGAGTGTTTTGATGATGGTATAAAGTCTATAGTTCCTCCTGGGGACCCACCACCTGCAGCAGGATCAGTGCTCTGGTGATCTGTGAATTGGGTGCAGCAATGATTTTCCTCTCCCTGATTCAGAAATGGATTAACGGGATGAAAATGGATGGATGGATAAACTCAGTGCCTCCTGCTGTTCTATACCTGGCATCGTGTGTTTAAACCATACAGCTGCAGGCCTGTTGTTGTTTAATCCTTACATTAACGCTTGCATTAAGTCGTTTTTTCATCTTTTCTTGGTTAATTCCTTTAGTCAGACCTGAGTTATGCAAAACATTGACAGTTTTGGCAACAACAAATGATAAAAAAGACAAGATGTTTCAATTAGGACTGAGAAAATAACGCTTGTGGCCGACAACATGACACTCGTTCCAGTGACAGATCTAAATTCAAACATTTCCCAAAATTCAAGTGATATTTTATTTGGCTTGTCTTTAGTCCCTTTAGTTTAACTCCAGTAGAATCACATTTGTTCAGCGATAAATAAAACACAAAAATGCTTAAGTTGTTAAAGCTGTCTTTTTGTCTTTATTTGAAAATATTATTGTATTTGCCAATGGAAGTTGGAACTGGCAAAAAGCAAGAAATGTCCAATTGAGAATAATATACTAAAACAGAAATATATTTTTCCTTAACTGCAAAAAATGCTGACAGTTTCGGCTTAGATAAATGATAAAAAAGCCTGCCGTTTCAATAAGAATGAGAAAATAAGTATCTTTAGTCCCTTTTATTTAAAATTAAAGCTGGGTTTCTTAAATAATACATGTTGTTTATCTCATTAGAAAGTCTCATGAAGGTGAAATGTTGTGAACAAATAGGACCACAACAGACTGTCATGTAATCAGAAAACACAAGAAGGAGCCTTGCTAATCACTATTTGACGCTTGGAGCTAAGAGCTGATTGGTTGAGTGAGGAAGGTCCTTTTGTTTACACTCTTCTGTCTGAATTAACTTATCATTCAACAACATTTATAGACATTTGGGCTGTATGGATCAATGTCTATGCGTTTTTTAACATAGCATTTCCTATGTTTGATTCTCTGATCTGTTGTTGGAGAATCGACAGCTTTGTAAAGTCCTCCAAGATACTCATGTGATATAGGTCTATACAAAAACAAATATTTAATTGAATTTAAGTTGCGACCGCAATCAAAAATACATGTATGCAAAACTCGTGATGGAACCAAACGGTTTTGAGAATTAAGTTACACAATTTTTAAAACAGTAAAAAGTGTTGTGGTTTGAAAGTTAGGAACCCCAGCTTTAAACAGGGTCGGCACTGGATCATATACGGAATCGGGACGGAAGCAGAAGTAAATATAACCAACTACCTAAACTAATGGATCCATGCCTAAACTTAACCAGCCATTACCATAGAACAGGTGTCTCCAACCTTTTTCACCCAGAGAGCTACTTTCCCGGGACAATAAAGGCAGAGAGCTACTCCTTTAAGCGGCCCTGGGGAATAAAATTGGTGAAATATTGGTGTGTACTGTCTGATATTGGGATCATCACATATTTGTTACTAGTGACAAAGTGCAGTTACGATAATAAATAAGGAGAATGAATAATACAATCTGAAATATTATGTAATATTATAAGTATATTATCTGGTTTGTTAATTTCTAGATCCTTTGGCGAGCTACCTGAAAGGGGGTGGCGAGCTACTGGTGGTTCCCGAGCTACAGGTTTACACCCTTAACCCTATCTTTAACCATCTTACTCAGACACCTAAAACTTAACCAATCACCACTTCAGGACTTAGTCTAAAACTAATTTGAAAGTAGGATTTTTACTTCCGTCCTGATTCCGTATAGGATCTAGTGCAGACCCTGTAAAAACAGCCAGACATCAAATCCCACACATACAAAACCTTGGAATTCTACAGAGACGGTTGATGTGAACAGGTCCGGTGTAGAAACATTGGTGTACTGACCGGTCAGAGGGCAGGGCAGGTTCTCCAGGGCTGATGTGGTCCAGCACAGTGACCTCAGATACTCAGACAACAGACTGCAGAGGAAGAACAGCAGGTCCGGACACTGGCTCGGCTTTGTTATCTGTAACCACAGGGACCCTCAGAGCTGTCTCACAAATCACTGTGTCTATACGCTGGAGGAAGTCAGCGTAACATTGGTAAATATGGGAAAGATTATGATAAATGTTTGGTAAAGGGGATATCTGAATGAATGAATGAGTTATTTCGGTCACTTACAATTTTACACATTGTTACAGAACAGTACATTTACAGCAGAACGAAAGACAGAAAAGGAGTAGGCTGAAGTTAATTCTATTTAATTTCTTTAGGAATAGGGACGATTTACATACAGTGGGGAAAGAATTGTGCAAAGTCCTCCCACTTAAAAAGATGAGAAATGCTTGTAATTTTCATCAAAGGTGTACAATACAAAATTAATTATGAAAATCCAAAAAAAAAAAAATCACTTCATCTTTGAGTTAAGAATTTATTGGCAAATTACGCTGGAAAAGAGTAGGACCCTGTGGTATCATTTAATACTAAAGTGCTAACATAAGAATGTAAGCAGCTCAAATAAATACATTTCGATATTTTTCACAACATTTTTCCCCTTGACATAACGAACACCAGTGACCACCATTTGCTGGAGGAAAATAGTTAAACCAATGGGAAGGGGCCTCAGATGTCTATCAAGGTTTTCAAATAATTGTGTCCAATCAGGAAGCCGTTAGGATGGAGCCAACTGGTTTTTGCATTGAAATAAACGTCTTTCCATCTTCACAATTTGATTAGTAACAACTTCACTATATTGATTTTATCAGGAGATCGGGGTGATTACACAAAATTGGGATAAAACATTTGGGGGATAAAGATTAACCCCAGATTTCAATCATAAATCAGATAAAAAAACAATAAAATGAATTACCCCTGGTGGGATAAATAAAGTAGTCTGAATCTGAAGCCCGTTCATGGATTTGAAAACTATGGAATGAGAATAATTATCATTCAAATCAAAATGCTACATCTTTTGAATGGGAAAAAGTCCACACAAGGAACGTTTATACGCATGTGTTTGCAGCTGGTAATTTTCAAATTTAAAATAAAAAAATAAAAAAAACAACACAAAAAATACACACCTCCCTCTAGTGGTTGCATGGGGAATTACAGACAGAACGCTTTTTTTTTACCCTTCATAATTGTTTCACTATATACTCTCTACTAAGGCTATGATGACACATTCTAAAACATGGAATTACAAAGTTAAAGAGTATGACACACAAAAAAACAAAAAATCATCACTGAACTGTCACATTTGTGTTATATAGCCGCATTTCCACCGCAGGAGTTCCTGGTAACAGGAGCGGGGTGGAACTTTTACAGGACCTTCCTCTTCCTCGGTCCTCTCAGTGTCCGTGTCTCCACTGCAGACACGTCGGCGACGTCATACGAGTTTCGATCGCCGCATAAGCAAAACTCATTACGCTAAACCCGTTATTATTATAGATCCATGCACCAAACCCATTTGCTTATTTTACGTTCGTGATAGCTCCGGTTGTTGTGGTCTTTGAGTCATTTTATAGTCCTGCTTCAGTTTTTTAAAACTTTTCACGGCTTGTTTTGGAGTGTGATGAATCCTAAGTGCTTTGAGGTGAAGCTGAAATGTCTAACCCTCAAACCCCGTCTGAATCACCGTGCTGCTGTTTGCCGTTTCCAGTGGTGTCTGCTGGGCTAATGCTGCTGAATGCCGGTTATTTTGCTGCTTTCTGCTGGCATCAAAGCGCCTGAGCCTGCGCTAGCTTTAGCCAATCAGCGCAGGGTTAACCTCAAGTTCCACCAGGGCCCAACCGAATACATACCATGGAGGAAGGACTCCGTTGGGCCCCGTAAAAGTTCCTGCAGTGTAGACACCCACCGACGGGGCTGGTCCTGAAATATTACCCCGAAGTTCCTGTGGTGGAAACGCAGCTCATGTGTTGTTTTTAAGCTCATGCAGGAGTTCCCTTTTGAAAAACACCTACAAACTTGTTATTTTTTTTAATGGACAAACATTTTGTTATTTGTTATTTTTTCTTTAAGTTAAAATATAGAGATGTCTAAGGGCAGCATGGAAACAAACCCAGATACAATGAGTAGTGCACAGTGTACCAAGGAAAGTGAAAATATGGACAAGGATAGATTCTGTGATTGTTGGATGAGGCTCGTCATAGAAGGAGAAAACCACATAGAAACATGGACAACGACTGAACCTGTCCTTGTGGAGACTATGCAGAGGATGAAAAACACCCAAGGTAGGATTTTCATTTAGTGTATTTTAGAGTTCCCGTTGTGAGTAGGGAATGGATGGAAAGTGGGGGTTCCCGTTTAAAGCAGCAGATAGGAACAATCTACTCTAGACTTATTGTCAAAATCTTCCCTGCAACAATTTAAAGAAGAAACATGATGCATACTTTTCGGCCATTAAATGTATAGACACTTTTTACTGTCATTTTATGTTTTAATCTTCAGTAGAAAATCCAAGTGGAAACAATAATTACAGAGCATTGCAGCTATTTGAATTGTATAATTTTTTTGTGCTCCATGTGTGCTCTTAATTCTGCCCAGTATGTGCGCTGCAACACAGAAATTTATATAACTTATATAACTCAGAGTTACAGAGCGCTTTACAATTGTGGGCGTTTTCTCTCTCACTCGACACAGTGACTGCAGTGGGCTCTCAATACAGGAGATGCATGTCAGACCCATTATATATGTTTCATGAGGTGTGGGAGACTGGAGCACCCAGAGGAAACTTACGCAGGAAGGTAAAAGAAATGCTTTCGTTGTTGCTAGATTTAGGTCTGAACAAAACATAGAAGTTTTAGACTGGCAGAGCTCGGAATAGAGCCGCTGCTGAGGTGGCTGGGGAATCTGTTCCGCGCATGTCCCACCGGAAGAAGCCTTAAGACATGTCGGAGGGACTATGGTGACGGATAAAGCGGAAGAAAATGAATTCATGGAAAATTCCCTCAACATTATTACACAGCTCATTCATAAAGATTAAAATACAAAAACTCTAGCTATAACATAATAAAGAAACAAGTATAAAATCTCTAGCTTTAGCATAGTAAAGAAGAAAGTATACAATTTCTAGCTCTAGCATAATAAAAAAGCAAGGTATAAAAAAATCTGACTTTAGGATAAAATAATTGTATTTTTATTGTTGCTGTTTTTCACTTAAGCCTTGGCTGTTTTCCATGTGCATTATGAGCATAAGAACAGACAGGGTTGATATCAGCATATATGGAGCTAAAACATGCGCATTGTCCTTTAATGTTAATTTAAATGTATTCTGACACAATAGGTCCGATTAATAATGGTTCATCCGTTCTAAAAGCAGATGAAAGTGCAGGGAGGTTCTTAAATGTACGTATATATAAAAGTGTTAGCAGTGGTTCTGTTCTGTGTGAAGATTACAACGCGTCTTCTGCGTATATATCGGTCTGACTTTTTTGGTAAACTTTTCTGTTAACTCTTCTTCTCAATTGTCTTTCAAGCTCCACGTCTTTAAAGCTTTTGTCTCTTTGTTCAGGCCACACGCATCCGCGAAAACAGCAAAGAAGCCCAATACTTCCCATATTTTTCCACTAAATTGCACTACAGCAACTCGCCGACTATAATCAGTTGGCTTCCAAAAATCACAAAGGACTGGACGGAGGACGAGGGGAAAGTTTTAAATGCTGTTGTGCTTTTTAGATTTTATTATTTATTATTCATTCTTTTTTTTTTTTATAAATACGTTGCACATCTAATAGAGAGAAACTAGGACAGACTGATAAAAGCAGTTAAAAGGGTCGACATAATAATTACCCAAAAAGCTCTTTCAGGCTAAAAAAGGAAAAACACCAAATGAGCCCAGGGTTATTATCATTCAGTGGATAATGTGTGAGGCGAGGAAGGAGCTGGGATCTAGAAATAACCAAATGTTCTTTTTTTCATATATTCTGTAGCTATACAAGCGATACAAGATGGAACCGACACAGTGCCAGGCTTATGGTGCTGATCAAAGTAAGTATGTTTTTGGATAGAGGATCTATTCTTTGTGGATGTGAAAGTACACTAAGGCTACACAGAATGAGAACGTCTCCATGGGGACAAACAAGAGAGCGAATGTAGTTTTTCTAATACAAGATAAAAATATATTCTAACAATGCAATATAGATGTGGCTGAAATGTCGCCACTGTGGAACAAATAAAACACATGATTAAATATGAGTAATAAAGCCACAATTAGCCAACAAGGATATTTTTCATCTGTAGTCCCCTGGCCGTGATGTTAAAAATTATGTTAAAAAATAAAATACAATATCTTACAACAGGCATGTCAAACTCGGGCAAGACAATTTTTACTGGCCCCTAAAATGATTTTCAATTATTATTATCAGCTTGCAGCATTGAAGGTAATGGGCGACCAAGGCATGTGTTACACCATCTATTTTCTCAGGAAAACAACCAAATCTAATGTATTCTATTCTAACCCAACACATCATTAGAAGTGAAATAGTTAAATGTGAATCAATGTGTTTAACTTTATATTTGGTCCAGTTTTGGTTCAATCTAAACAACAAAGACGTTTTGTTTTCAGAAGTGAAACTTGTGTCACATTAAATTCATGTCAAAACACCTGCATCATGTAAAAATTCAATGGTAAGAGAAAAAATTTACTTCTATTCTTTCTAAACTAAATGAGTTTGACACCCCTGTCTCACAACATGTAGACGGGTTTCAGGATAAATTACAAGAAAACAAAGTAAGATGTCTGATGTTGGAAATAGGGATGTAAATCGGTGACCGTTTAACCGGTGGTTGACCGTCACAGCATTAACCGGTCAAAGCTGTTGGTTAAAAAAGAGAAAAAGGGGAGAGGGGAGGTCTCTTAATAACGCTGTTTTAAGCCCTATTCGCACGATGTGACGAGCGGGTCTGTGTGCGCCAATGTATCAGTAAACTTCGGGCCAACCCTCACGCCGCACACGCCACATATGCACGCACACATGCACACGCACACACACACACTTTCCCCCCTCCATTGATATGTAACATCCA